TATGACAGGAAGTTAAACTATCATCCAAACGAGTGCCTAATTTGAACAAAACCATACGGTACAAGAGAAATAGATGAAATAGTAATTAAGACCACTTCGTCATCATTATCCACGCCTTCATAATGAAAGCAAACTCAGCGTGGAGTCGGTTTTGCCGGCTAATATTAGCGCAGCGCCTGGTAATGGGAAGTCGATAGAGTTGGCATCCATGGGAGCTTGGACGGATCTATCTGCAGAACACCATTAGTGCCACTCTGAAGGAAATGACGGACAAGTTTCATGTTATTTTGGCAGCAGTGAAAGCTGAAGACAGTGTTGATAATCGTGATGGTGATATGTGTACAGTACTGGGTGATCTGTAGTTGTCCACTGACTTTATAGAAAGCTTATGTTTAAGTAACTCACGTGATTGACGTAGGGTGGGCGTGTCCTATGACACATTGTTTCGGTGTTGATATTTGACCTCGGCTTATGCTGTTGGAATTTAAAGATATTTGGCTATAAATGATATGGCATTTTACTGAAATGCACGGGTTTCTTTTATATACTGTACTTTTGCATCACCGTGTTAACTCAAAAGTACAAGCAATCAAAAGAAATATTCATTGTGACTTTTATTCGTAAGTCTTTGTACGAAGGGCTTAACCGTTCAATAAAAAATACACTTTATTTTGTATTTTGACTTTTGCTCAGTTGGGGGAAATTTGACCAGCAGTTGGAGCAAAATTCTGCTGAGAAATCTGTCTGTTCAAAGGATTTTTAATCTTTTTGATGAAATAAAGATGACATTTTTCCTTCAAGTAAAACGATTCCACTGCTTAATACCAATCTAGGAGACCTCTTTGAGTTGGTTTAAAGTAATTGCCCCTTAATGCTCAGAGTTTGACCCCATAAGATGTTATTGATATAAATTTGCTGTACAATCGAATGAAAATCATTATTTGGGGATATGAAAAGAAGTCGTATTTATATTTCTTATTACAGCTTATACATGGTGACGCCATTTTGATTCGCCATGACGTCAAAAGTATGCCGTTTGCGTATATATCAACGCTTTTGTAAGGGCAATTTTATTTCAGTACATGTACATTCGTCGTTATTACCAATAAATCTTAACATCGAACAATCGAATTCAGCTTTATTGTTAAGAATATGCCTCCTTTCTTTGAGCTGTAAAATGTGTTTTTTCTTTATTTTTATTTCGAAGATTTGATATGCATGTTTTTGCACTGGTGAACATGGCATGTCTATTTCTATCGTTTGTAAAGGTTTTATGACATATCAAATTATATATATATAGGTAACATAGTTATTTATAGCAAGTATTAAACCTGTAAAATGATCCGTTGCACCATTTTCAAATACAGTATTGGGTAATGCACAATAAATAAGGTGTATGTATTGATGACAGGGGCAGTTCATTATACGGGGTCTGATTTCTTCTTCACACTTTACACGTGCAATGTATGCCTGTCTATCACATTAATCCTTATAGATCATAGTTTTTTTGTAGAGTAAATGTTTTGCTTCTGTTCTTGTAATAACCAGTCTTGTTGGCTATCCAGGTTCTTTAAACTCTAATGCTGTTTCTCACCAATAAGTAAACCAAGACAGGTTTTAAAATAGCTGTGTCGCTATGTATTGAACCCTTAAGAGTTAAGATGACAAAATTTTCGTAGATGCAGCATTATAGAAAGTTACATATTATATACAAACCTATGTTTAGTGCACTATACATATACATAAATGTTACTGATAAAAACGAGAGAAAGTCAAGCTTTAAATAGTAATTAAAATAAAAAAGTATTTATATATCGATAAAGAGTTTTCTTACACGGTATATGCATGCACATGTAGTGTCATTGAAGATTGCATGTTACATTGAATCCTTTGTTTAGTGCATCATATACAATAATAATAATAATAATAATAATAATAATAATATTATTATTATTATTATTATTATTATTATTATTATTATTATTATTTATTTATTTATTTATTTATTTATTTATTTATAATAGAATTATATAAAAACGTTCCTTTGTATTATATTTGTATTATTATTTGCAAATGAATAATCAAATTCTTAGGTGATAAGAAAAAGAAGTCTGTAAGTGACGCTGTGGTATTCCAAAGCTTACATGCCACACATTTTCCTCGGAGCTACACCACTGGAAATAAATGAACCCTTATTTTTGATAAATGAAACTAATTACCATGCCTTAGTAATGCTTACTTAGGTTCTCTTTTACGGCGTGAAATAAAATAATTTCATTAATTAGGCACATAATGCAGAAAGCAATTACACGGCGAATTTTTGCATATTTATAGAAATTTGCATGGCATTAATTAGTATTTAGTCGTTTTTCTCATTTTTCTCGAAAGAACGATTTAATTAATCTGAGAAACGACAGTGCGCAGTTATTGAACGGTTCCGGTTGGTTGATGACAAAGTCCAATAAACAGCTATCAAGTCACTTAAGAAGGCCTATTCATCTCCAATTGTTGATTGCAAGCTAAGGCAACATTTGAGCAAACCTGGCAAACTATTCTAAAACTTTCACATGCACGCTACCCTTTTTCTCTTAATCACAGAATGTTCTTTCGCACACGAGGCCTGCCCTGGTTGTTAACCAGAGACTGAGAAAGCGAGAGACAGACGCAATGACGGAAAGAAGGAGTGCCAAACAGACGGACGAACAGACAGACACATTGAAACTTATTTATGGTTCAACATAGTTCGCTTTGACGAAAAGATTTAATTCGCACAAATTTTAGTTAAATGCTGTAGTTGCAGCTTAGCAAACCCAGCCAAGTAGATGAAGAGAGAATTATTTGAACATGGTCCTATGATGAAGACAGGCAAGGGAGTCAAACATCATATTAAACCACCATTCCGGGGCAATAGATCCAACAAATGGTTACTAATACGGTGTAAGAAGATGATGACGAATTGCACATTAGGCGAACAATGGGTCATTTCGATATAAAACGATCCCCAGCACAACACTGATAAGAGACGGCGCGTAATATACTGGTCTAGTTTGGGAGTTAGTTATTGTGAGAGACTATAGGAAAAATATAAAGAGAAGACGATCAAGCAGCTTCCATCAATAGACGATGTAGTTTATAATTTTCAGAACAATATGATGGACGAATGAATTTTACAAAATATCGAAAATAAGGTGAAAAATTAATGAATAAATAAATAAACAAAGGAGTAAATGAAAGCTCAATTAATTGACAAATTAATTAATTAATGATTTCTATTGATAAAAGGTCCCTGCTATCTATATTTTTCACTCGCCTTTTTGAAATAATTCGACGTCCTAAAAGTTCAACATTTTTGTATAAATCCCCCTGGCATAATAACATGTAGTAAATTTTATCAAACCTTTCAGAAGAATTCTCAAAATTTAAAAAATCGTTTTCAAATCATACTCGCACCATAATTTTATCGTAAGACCGTGCATTTCAAATGTATATTTTACTTTAACTGTTATTTTATGGCCATTGGCATTTTTATCAATTGCTACTAATTATCTTACATAGCCTGAAACATAATTGACAAATATTTTTTTTAACAGACAAGGTTGAGTTAATATTTCAGTACAGATAATACCTTAGACCAAAAAGAAATAAGAATTAACTAATTTACAGTAGATACACAGCAATGTCAGGCTCTCTCTCTCTCTCTCTCTCTCTCTCTCTCTCTCAAAATTAAATCGTCTTGATTCTCTACACAAGAACACAGGCAACATTGCTTGGAGGATCGTGTTCATGTGGTGTTTCAAAAATAAATAAATAATGATAATGAGCTAAGCTGTCTGGCAATTAAAATGACAAAGTAGTCTGTCTATTTAACAAGCGGGTCATTGGTAGTACATCCCTTAATAAAACAACAGTGCAGGTTACTACTGGTCATAAAATTGACAGTGAGCAATGGATGTCTATGTTGCATCATTACAGTTTAACATATATGGATATTTTCCTACCATGCATATCCAAATAGTCCCTGCTTATGTAGAGTATAGTCTACGAGATAGCCTCCCACCTCCCACCCTTTGAACAGGGAACACCAAACCTCACTTCACTAATCAGGCCAAACCCGCCTCCCACCCTGTGTTTATCAAGGCTTGTTCATACCCCCTTTATTTTCAAATAGGAGTGGCCAAATACATTGCCCTTTGCATCATGAAGAGACGTTACACTGGCAGAAAATGACGTCATTAATGTACTTTCTGCGGCCATATCGCCAAAGGTGTGAATTACTTCTGATTGGGGGTCTCCTCTTAGAAATCTCTCTACGTGACCGTGGTGTGAGTTACAATGAAGAAAACGGCTGCCTTTTATGATGAAGTCAGTGTTATTGTGTTCCTCGGAAGACCTATATATAATACAGGAACAATAGCTGGTCCACCCCCGGGTCACGCTAAGCAAACGGTCGTGCTGCCCTGCATCGATTTTCTCTCTGTCGGAATTACGGTGGATGCGTTCATAAAATAATCAGAGATTTGAGCATTGTTTCTGCTACTTGTCAAGACGATGACAACTCGTGCTGCAGCCAAATTTAACCACCAATTTGATAGCTAGTGAACCTTTCAGAGCATACATCTAAAACAAAAGAGATCTCGCACCACAAACAAAGTTGACATTAAATGCGTTGATTTATAAATCCCTTGGGTAGCGAAAGACAAATGTTGATCTGCATCTTACAATTATCCGCCAATTCATTACCACGGCTATTATAACAAAATAAATGAAAGGTATTGGATCTTTCATTCTACATCTATTGAATACAATGTTTTCCTAAATTCACTCTATTGAATTTGTAACACAAATTGTAATTGCCCTATGTGTCAAAATTATCTTATTCTACGCTGGCCCATACATCATTGTATTATTTCAAGTATTCACCAGCGGCCGTGTCCATAGTGGCCCAAGTTATATAAGTAACATCAGTTCTCGTTGGCTGGCGAACTGCCCGTTGACGGCAACGTTTTTCCTGTGCGCGAGAGGCTGTTCACGCAGTAATTAAGAGATATCCCATGAATTAGCAAATAGCGTCGATTGCGAAGTGCGGAGGAAACCACGTCGCGCCTCCAACAGCGGCTGGCGCTATAAAAGCGGCACCAGGGGTTCTAGCCAAGCTCGAGCACGCACGCACGTCTGAGTAGGAGGCAAAGGAAGTCCGTTAAAAGAAACACAGCCTCGTCCATTTACTTAATGCATAGACGCTTCAAGACATCTACATAGGAAGGATTGACAACAGACTGGCTTTTGAAAGCGTTCCTTCCTTAAAAATAATTCTGTTTTAGCGTAGAAGTTTGTTATTGCAGTTTCTATTGAGCACCATCAGAGTAAGATGCACGTTTTAGCCACGGCGACGATATGTCTGCTCTTCCAGGCCTTTCACGGTAAGATTTTTTATCTCTAAGTTGAATTAATAATTTTACTTCGATCAATTTTATTCTCTTAATTTACTAATTGTAGCGCCTTGCTTTTACGTGCTACTTTTTATTTATCCTTTATTTTTGCCGTTGTTGGTTTTTTGTTTATTTATTTACAAGATTCAAACGGTAATCAATGAACATTAAATATTTAAAATGCTCACAGCTTGAAATAAAGCAGCAGCAAAAGCAATCTTCACAATTTCAGCTTAAATGTTTTACCACAAAAAATATTACAACTAACTAAAGGAGCAGATTGTTATACTTCTAAAGATGTTAGGTTTCTATATCTATCGAACTTCTTTTGGACTGAATCACAAATAATGAGAATTATGAGAGTTGAAAGACAGAATCAGCTTATATATATGCTGACCTGCAATTATGTTAGACTTCAATTCTTGAACGATTAAAATGATAAAGATACCATTTATGTGAATTGCAATTTATCGTCATCAAATGGCCATTAGATCTAATTAAGCTAGAGCTCTTTCTATGGAAAACAGCGCTTTAGAAACGCAATTGAGTGGAAGAAGAATATAAAATATCAGCTCAGGGACAAGTAATCTATTGAAGACTTTATAATACTATCTAAAACCCCCTTTTTTCGAGAACTGCTTAACGCACAACGAAATTGTTTGCATAGTTTGAAGTTCACGAATGAAGAACAAATCCGAGATAATGTTGGCAAGTGGTGTTTCATGTTTGGAATACGCTGACGTCTATGCCCACATTGTGTACCTTAGAATGATCGCAGACTGCCATTCACTTTCACTCCTAAATGTCACCCTTATCTTCACGAAGCACTTGGTTTCTATTGTTTAAATATGTACAATGCACAAGAACGATCAAAGGGCTAATCCGTCGATACCCTTTTAGAGGAAAAAACATGAAACGTTCTCAATTAATTCGTTAATAAATGCCCAGAGTATCAAAATCAATCATTTTCTGGTTGGATTTTCAGCGTCAATCTACATTATTTCTTCAAATGTGCTAATCGACATGATGGCTTTCAAGTGGTGTAATAGCAATAGCTTTGGTTTCATTTTCGGGAAACTGAAGGTAAATCATACGACTATGTGGTATAAGCTCAATGGATTGTCAAATGAATCATGTCACTCTCTCACTGATCATAGGTTTAAGTACTTTTGATTTAAATAGGGGAGGACGCCACAGCTATCAGTGACTACATACGTGTAGCTTTAATGTAGCAATCTTCTTTACCGAAAGTTACACAATGTCTGATCTAATTGCAAAAGCGCGACATCAATATCACAGGCAATAAATTTAAAAAGTAGCAAATTGCATACTTATTGTGCAGTTGTAAAACAAGCACCTTAGATCTTTTTTAAAGCCAATGGACTAGGAATGCATAATGTTACCATGGAGGACCACTATGGTTTGCTAGGTACGAAGTAGATATCTTTGTATATCTTTGTATATAGACACCAGCCATCACCTGCAGCATGGCGACCACACTTGTTACATCAGTCTTAGTGTCACGCAGCATTCACCGTGTGGCTATGTGAGTACAGTGTACAGATTACAAACACATGGTGCCCGAACTTCTAAAAGCCTGGATAACATGCGATTCACACATTAGGCACCTAATATTCCCATCTCTCTAAAGATGAACATGTGTAAAATTTCGGGGGGAAATTACAAAACGTCCCACGGCAAATTTTCACACAAACCAGATTTCAAGTAACGCAATACAGAATAACCGGTAGTAATATTGCTGTAATGTGTGTTCTTGTATTCAATCGGCCGTGACGTCGCCGGCGATTATCAAGTGTGTGTACACTGCCGAGGTGAAAACAAAAGAATGTCAGCCGTGTCAGGTTAGTTCTTCATGCTTTGCCAATCCTTTGGGGAACTGGACACAAAACAGTCAGTTACGATCACAGGTTATTTAAGAAAAAAGCAAAGACCGGCAAAACAACGGGGAAGAAAGAGAAATAAAATGCAGAAAATGCCTGCTAGGACGAGTCAGGAAATGTATTATTGGAACCTTTATCTTTCGTTCCATGCCGCATTGGGTGATCGTAAGCAGGGAAATAAAGGACTTTAATGAGTATTTTGAGTTCTATTTTATTCATAACCTTTTTCCGAGAGTGCAAGGAAATAAGTGGGCGGGGGCACTTTCTGTGGAAAAAATCGTTTGTGTCCACACTGTATAGAATAGAGAGTAAACCTTGTTTTCAAAACATGGTGAAATTATATTTTCACGGTTAGAGTTGAACGCGCCGCAGAACAATGATACCAGTCAGAAGTGTTTTCAAAGTAAAGCAGGACATGAATTACGGTATGTTTATCTACTGTGTAACACGTCAAAATTTTCTTAAATGTGCTTAAGACAGTGACCGGTGTTGAAACATTCATTTTCCCCATGTTGATGAGCCACGGAGGATTGATGCAGAGGAACTTATTTGAACAAAGTAGTTCGCCACACTCGACAACTCTGAGGGCATATCGGAAGTATACCGCCGAGTATGGTATCAGGTTCCCTAACAGCCAGCACCATTTGTCTTCAGCCATTTTCTCTGGCTGTCAATCAAAATCCCATTGCTCGCTATGTGGTCTGCGTTAGGTAGAATAGCTGGCATTCACAAAATCTTGATTGAAGTGAAAGCTAAAATTTGGATATTGTGAACGTTCTTGCTTAATGGCCATTTTATCGAATTTTTTCCAATCACACAGTTTCTACAAAGACATACAGTTAATAACCTTTTCTAGTTTTAAATTATCACAAAAGCTAATAGGGTTCAATTCCTTTTTAAAAACATAGAATAACCTACCAATTCGTCAGTCTTATTTGAAGAAAGAAGCGTTAAGTCTATCTAGTTGAATTGCTAGACATGTTCCTTGCGTAATGGGCAAAATAGTGAAAACCAGCTAATTAGACTTACTTAAACCCACCATCCCAAATCAATGAAAAAGTATGTCGATCCGTGCGAACTTCGTTTCGTTTAACTGGCCTATGTAAGATCGCGATCATGGAAATAAGTTACCAGCGGATGATTTTCATGTGTAATTAAGCTTTTCTGACATAGCCTTTGACCATTTAATGTACATTTCAACCATCTACATATATACATCAAGATGCACATTCACATTTCAACGATTTCAACCACTGTTATATACATTAAAACCATTATGATATACATATATTTCAACCCATCAGATATGCATTTCAACCCATTAAAAATACATTTCAACCATCCAGATATACATGCATATTTTTCAACCATTCTGATAAACATTTTAATCAACGTGATAAATTATTTTCAACCATTCAGATAAACAATTTGACTAATCGGGTACACGTTTACATTTAAACCAACTAATTATACATTTCAACCAATCAGATGTAAATTTGAACCATCTAGATATACGATTCAACCATCAAGATAAGCATTTCAACCAGTACGTATCACCTGTAATTACGACTATTCAGTGGCATGAAAAACTACCGTTGCCTGAAATCACAATGACTTTTAATTGATATCAATCTCCGCTTCAATTGTTAAAATCCATTTGAGTGGCGCCATTCATCCGCGTTGATCATTAAAACAAAAGACGGTGTCACCATTAAGCAGAAAATCATGAAAATCTCTCTGATGCGCAAACAAGGAATATTACGTATGGTAATTATTGTGATAAACGTGTTTTAATGATACAGCGGCTCCTCATTAAGGCGAAATTTAATTGCCAATTTTGGACAGCCATTATACCGTACGAGAGACAAAGTTAAACAGTAGAACCATTGTAACGTGGAAATAAAGACACTTATTGGTGTAACTGTCATCACACCTATAGCAAACTTTATAATATTACATTGTCGCCAATACTACTTCGTTAAATAATCACCTTATCAGCTAGAATTAGACATACCTGAACACAGTCTACATATATCAAACTGGCACTCTTCAGCCATACGGTCACAACATGGGTACAGTTGGCAGGTGTCAAGGCAAAAATATCACCTGAGTTTCACGTTTGTTTAAAAATGGAAGCCGTATCGTGTACATTGTAGCATAGGGGCCCCCTCAGGCGCTTTAGTTAAAAGGTTTGCCAGGACATTCGTTTTTGGACGTAAACATCACGAAAGTGAAGAGATTGGCCAGATTTCTTACAAGGAGAACTCTTTTTAATTGTTTTTTTTTTATTTCACCACTACGTTAGAAACAAAGAACAAAATCGGGGATAAACATAACAACAGTTTGCTAAAATATCAGGGCATTACTCTCCTCTGACATCATAAAGAATCAGATTTTAAGACTTTAGCACAAAATCCCCGTTTTTCACAGAGTATAAGTGGTGATCTCTTTCGATCAAATTTTTGACAAAATTATGTCATGTTTTGCCACCCTCTCGGTAGTTGTACATGTACATATACGTCCTGTATTTAACACATTGCCTTAGCATAATAGCCAAACGAGATGGCACTCTAAGAAAAAGTCACCTACAACCCCTTGCAAGCCTATTAGTTTATCTTGTCGCTAAAGTCACCACCTGGGCGAAAAGCAACATGCATTCAAGCGACTAGCGTGTTTGCTTTGCTGATTTGACAGCGAACTATTCTAGTGACAGATATCAGAGTCTAGAGCTTCAGCTACTTCGACAAGTAAAGGATTTGAAAAGGGCATTCCAAGTAGACGGAGGGAAATCCTGCCAGACCAGCTTATATCTCGGCGCATTTTAGAAAATGCAGCATCAAAAACAAACACATTTGCCAATTTTCAATATCATTCCATCATGATACGTCTATTAAGGGTTTATTTCTTTTAACTGCGTTTGCTCATAATGGAACATTGATTCAAGCCAAGTATCATATTAATGCTAAGTTAAAAGCTTTGACTTTACACTTGAATAACAACACTGTTCCACGGAAATGACTGTTCAGCTGACGTTGAAGCTTGGCACTTATGAAATAGGACCAAGGAAATAAAAAAGTAACCAAATTCTCTTTTTTGTACAAGTTCTGACCATGCTTCATTAAATGTAAACGACTTAATGTTTATCAAATTCTAAAACTAAATACTAATTACTCCCTATTGTACCATTTACAAGCCTGTGTACCACCATACCTATGTATACTATAGAAAATAGAGTGGTAATGATTTATAACGTTTGACTGAATGACATTTGTGATAAATGATCCAAACACATATCAGATATTGGTGAAAAGAATGCACTTAAATCGTACGATACTTTAAAGCATAGTTTCTAACTCCATTAAGTCTTGAGTTGTTGAATTGAGCGATTTTAATTGGCTGAAAAAGTGGAGCGCAATCCAATAAGTTTCCTTTTTTTTCTTGTTCTGTTTGTTTGTTTTCTAATTTATGATTTCGAATAACCATTTTGATAAATCCGTTTTCGGCATGTGAAACATTTTTTCTTCAAGCACTCATATCATGAAAGAAAAAAATTAGATGTACAAATGTTGAAATGTGAGTGGGATATGCCCATTCTTTGTACATAATGACACATACGTTCTTCAATCTGGAACCGTGTGCTTCAATCACCGCAGAATAATTTACACAAAGAGCACATTTAGGCAATTATTTGTTGAAAATAACATCCTGACAAACGCAAAGTAATGCTCCTTCAGAATGCCCCGACTTTCCATATTGGCCAACCAGTTGTACACCTGTGTGGAACATATACGTGCATGTATATGGCCTCATTTAGAATAGAGGACTAACTAGTCCGAGGGTCAAATATGGCGACCCACTACAAAGCTTGCCGTCTAATCCGCCAATAGACACTGAATAGATATCCCGTGGGGAAGTATTCAAGTGGGTCGGCCATATTTGACCCTCGTACTAGTAAGTCCCCTATTCTGAATGGGGCCTATGATTAAGGCGTCTTTTTACCAGCTCCATGTGCCCTAAAAATATGGCTTGGATTGATTGTTGAAATTGTTACAGTTAGTGTAATGTTCCTTCCTATTAAAATTCACGGTCTGTGGAATAAGTTTAGTCTAACACTGGTAAATGATGACCAGGTAAAAACGAAATGGGTTCAAACAAAAATTGTGGATTAATTCAACTCAGACTTAATCTGAAAAACTTAACATAGAGTCTACTGAGGCACCGCTGTTACAAAACTGTATTTCAAAACTAAACAGCAAAAATTTCTTACGTTAACTATTTTAAAAAAGCGCAAATCAAAGTCTTGTGAAATTTTGTGAAGGTCATTATTAAAGAAGACTAATAAAAAATACATTGTTTATGAAAACTATATTAGTCAGCCTCAGGTAAAGGGTCCTAGCCCAAGCCAGTTTATTGCAAAGATTTGTCTTAATTTTTTCTTGATAAATTGAAACGTAAGTGTGCGATCAATAAGGGAAAGTAACTCGTCTAGTAGCGAAGAGATGATGCATGACTATATTTGCTCTTTCCTTATTGAGCGAGAAAGTAAGGAAACAAATGAATAGGAATGGTGCGCCTCGCCAATATCATGAGATGGAGATTAAACAATTAGATGAATCGTTTTATCTACACTTCAAAGCATGTCTGAATTAAGAGCTTAACGAAGGACTATTGCAATACTTGGTAATGAATATTCGCTGATTTTGCAGTCTATATTTTTTGGAAGTGCTTCAGGGTGCGTCCGGCCCAACATATCTTCCTAGTGAAATCACAATAGGGCTTCCTCCATAAGACGCTATTAATGCCTCTATTCTGTGAACGATCAATGTAGATAAGCATATACCAGCCAACAAACATTATCGATTTGAGAGAGAGAGAGAGAGAGAGAGAGAGAGAGAGGAGGGGAGGGTTTAATACATCCACGTTGCCATTATACAGTGTATAACCTCGACATCAGTTACAGTATGAGCCCTATAATAAATATATATTTAACCCCTATTATAAGACTCCATGGTTATCTTGCAGGTTATTTAGCAGATGGGTTTGAAAGAGACACCCGAGGATTGGGGATTATGCGCATGGGAAAGAGAGCCAACCAGCTGAAGATGATCCGCCTTGGTCGCGGTATGAGGATGCTGAGGCTCGGGAAACGAGGCGACCCCTACATGTACGGTTACCCCTACGATCTTTTCTACGAGCCAAGAAATGATATCGCAGAGCAATTCCGTCGTCAAATTCCTACTTATCCCAGAATAGGGAAAGACTTAGACTATGCGCCATTTAGTGAGGAATGGAACTGGCCGGCCGCCAATCCGAGACCCCGAGTTGGCAAAGAACTGCAGGACTACGAGTGGGCGGCCGCAGAGGAGGCCAACCACGACGCCTCTCTCCCCTTTGTCCTTTCTCGGAAAAAGCGCTCGGCTGTAGATAGGCCAGAGAGCCATTACGACGAGAAAAAGGGCAGCCCATCTCTCCCGCGCCTCGGCGAGCCCACAGCAAAGCGTTCAGATGACGAGCCCCTTCCCTATTTGCCCAATGAAGACTATGAGCAATACGTCCGTGGAATAATCCCCTATCCCCGCATTGGCCGCTACGAAGCGTATGACATGCCCCCAGTTTATGATGAGGATCCTTATTTTGACACGTACGCAGACAAACGTGCTTTCCGCGGATTACGACTGGGAAAGCGTATGAGAATGCTACGGCTGGGAAGAAGCGACTCCCAAAAAACAAACGACCTTTCAAAAGAGGATTCTGACTTTTCACAACACGAAGAGAAGCGAAAGATGCGCATGCTACGACTTGGCAAAAGAAGCGAAAATAGTAAAATCAGTAAAGTTGCACCGGCTAAAAATGAAATCGCATCCAAGAACTAATAGTTCTTTTCCATCTATTTCATTATTAATGAAGGTTTTTGATATTCATGAACATGGAACTTAAAAGTCAATGCAAAGCTAACAATTCTTTAAGCATCTTTAAGCTTGAATGCGCAATTTCTGTGATTTACAGAGTTGTGGTTCACTTGAACTCTAATAGAAAATACTCGAACCAAGTTCACGTATGTTTATTTGGAAATATGAAGAAGCAAGCTTTGTTTTCGGCTGAAGGGTTGTACAGAAATATTATTTTGGTACTGTTTAAAATGTCTAATGATTTACAATTATGGTAATAAATTACTATTCTATAACAGCAGGAGTTTTTCAATGCAAAAAAAAAAAAAAAACACTGTTTTATGTATGTGCAGACAATCGTTAATACAGATACATGAGTGAACTGTTCACGTGCTAGAGTTGTATCAAAAAATGTACATTGCGTCTCTCTTTAAACTCTATCTAATAACAAGTCGGTGCTGTGAAACTGTGCATATGAAAAGGTATATTTTCCATTCGTCTCTAAGAGGGCATTCCAAGAGATTTAGACCCCATTTCCAGAGATTAGATCGATGTACTTTAGACCGACCTAACTCCCTGGGGGGTTCACGCTAAATTGCAGTCAGCCGACCGCGCACGGAAGTTAATTACCCCCCTTACAGCTTGTAGTATAGGCGGGACGGACATTTAAGCCGGATTATCTGACAGTAATCAAGTGAGACTCCACACGGAGATAGATCGATCTAAAATCTATGGGAATGCGCCCTTAGCCTAGCCAAGATATGCCTTTCATATGCAATACAACCGGTTTCTCAGTATATCCGCCAAGATTTCCATAATTTTACCTTCACTTAACAAGCGTAAATACATTGGCAAAATATTCTTCAATTTCATACGATCTATAAAACGAAGACAATCACAGATTTAGATCTAACGCTCATTACCTAAGCTTGAATTCCATCTTCCCTACTTGATTTGGATAAGTAGCTATCAATATGATCATTAAGTTATGGAATAAAATTAACACAATTTGCGACCAAATGGATGTGCCTTTCCAATTAGCTAGGGTGAACTTGCCTGTTGCAATGATTCGAGAGCGACATATTTGGTCGAAAGACATTTTGGCAAAGCAAAATTTTAAGATATTTTTTCACAATCTATTTTGTCCTTGTACGCCTCCAGATTGCAGTTCAACCAAATGCCAAAACTATTTGCTAATGTTAAAAAGTAAACTGATGTGAGCATTACGGAGAGCTGCAGACACTGCTGAAAACTGTGAACCGAAAAAAATACTCCACATCAAATAGTAAAAAATGCAAAACATCAAAAAGACAATATCTGAATCATAAAAATATAGTTATTGAATAGTTTTCGTGGAGGAGAAGCCCCCCCCCCTTCCCGGAAGAGGGTAAATACATGTATTTTATTGCGCCGTGTGGTAAAATATCAAAATAAGAAAACTCGTAGCTAGTAAGGTTTGTTTTTCAAGACAGGGAGTTTTTACTTCTATTCTTGCACGCAATGCTCCATTAAGGCGTCCCCGTTTTTCCACTAACAGGATGTGCCCATTTTGATGTAAAAAGTATCCTGGTGAGATTCACCCTTGAGTCACATTAGCTGCCGTTAACATCATTTTCACAATACGCGAAACGATGTCTCTGACATTTTTTTTCATCAAGGAGAACGTGAATTTCTTCTTTTAGGGCGTAAATTGAAGTTAGAGAAGCATCAGAGCCATTTATCAAAAAAAAAAAAAAAAAAAAAGAAAAGAAACTATGCCCCGTAACTGGCTGTAACAAAATAAATCTCTGTGAAGTATAAACCAGGGTATCTTAGGGTTCATGAAACTACGTTTATCGCCAGCACTACAAAAGATAAACAAACAAACAAAAAAATAAATAAAATAAAAAAGAGAACGTGAAATCAAAGCCAAAATTTGATACTGAAAGTGGCGTTAGTTCCGTGTTTTCTAAAGGTATTAGCATACAAAAAGAAAAACACAGCAACTGTAATCCAGACATCTAACGTGACTACTCTCTGGTTGCTGCTAGTCTGTTACAAAATTGCTGACAAGCCTCTTCCTCGATTTTATAACATTCTATACTGAAGAGCCCTGTGACGGTCCAGAGAGTGGGTTCATACAGGTCCGCGTGCAGCAGGTACTCCTGTGCTGCCAAATATTGTTTGACCATGAGAAATGCTAAGGTGACTACAAATATACCATAATAATAATGAGGATGATACTAACTCCCACGAAAGCGTGATTATGTAAATAATTAATATACTACATACATTATTGTAATATAATCTGCCTTTTCAAAATTTCCAACAATAATAGTTCGTGTTTATCATCAGAATCTGATTTTAAAAGAAAAATTAAAGATTTCTCAAAGACAGCGATACCCAGGATAGATCCTCTACATGTATATAAGAGAATAAAATTAGATTGTTTTCACTGTTCGTATATGATTAAACTGTAGTTTTTCAAATATTTCATTTTAACCATTACTTAGCTAACTATAAATAATCACAAAACAAAAGACGTGTGTATCTTGATAGTTTAAAATTTATTGAAATAACCGAAAGACCATTTTTATCGCCTGATACGAAGGCGTATATATTCTTTTGCGGTTCTTATTTATGACGTCTGAAGAGTTATTAGGTAAATGTGTTACATGCTGAAAAATAGGTGGTGAAATTCAGATTTAGGCAGGAAATGATGAACCTGGAAAAGAACGATCTCTTTGATGGCGTAACCTTTTGTGCTTTATTCTCTTTTCTCGTAGAAAAATGTTTCCGGCATAACTTAGATTAATCTTTCTTATTGCAGATGATTTTTGATTCGTAATCACAGGGATACTTTTTATCTGTCAAATAAATCAGACGGTAGAATGCTAATTGTTTTAAATCTCGTCTGTGCAAGTAACATGATTATTACCTTAATTTTCAGGTAAAATTTACCTGACAGATGAAATGGTATGGACAATTTATTTTCACAATTTTGTGGATATGAAAACCATTCTCTACTCAAAGATAATTTTTCTCAATTCATTTATCTTAACCACATGGAAGAAATAAAGGCAGGCGCCCACTTTTTTACCAATGGAGTATGTAGCTATATCAGTAAGTGGAAATATAAATCAATCGTCTCGTAAATCAATCGTACCTTTGTGTATACATGCATTTGCTTAAAAAAAAGATGATCTATGCAAATTGAAATGAAACGGGGGTTATCATATCAGATGTATGTCTAAAGAGCTTTTATCATTTGTTTTTCCCATTCTTTATTTTTTTTCATATTTCTTTAAAAAGAACCCCCTCCTCTCTAACAAAGATATAATGCCCTCCGGATATGTCTTGCTGGCGCATGTACCAAGTATCTTTATTTATGTATTTTTAAATTGATTTATGGTTTAAATTGATAGTCAAAGTTGCTACAACAGAATGATAGTTCCTACATCTGTGAATGGGAATAATGCCGAGAAAAGAGACAAGCAGTAATCCATCCCCACCCCTACCTCACCCCACCACCGCTGTAACAACTGGACAACATAATTTAAGAATAGTCATTTGACGTCATCAGATTTCAAATATAACGAAGCGCTTCTTATAAAGATTAGAATATTTTTTTACAGCTTACGATGAAGCATAAGGTCTAGTAAGTATAGTTTTATCTTTTACTATAATTCAACTGTAAAAGTTGGAACTATGCAGTGGTGAGAATTATGAATGAAGATTCGTCATAATTTTAACAGACACCCCCAATATAAAGTGTACACAACTTTCACAATTACACACAATTTGTAAACTAATTTCGCACTTTTACAGAATAATTCTCAGTCTGCGGCTTGTTTTATGAAAACGTTAAAAGTGATGTCTACAAATGAACACAAACTATCATTCACAATTTTCTCATAAATTTATCAATAGGCGTTGTTCAAAAGGAGCATTGGGAATTACATACAAAGTACTTCAGTCAATTACAGAGAGATTATGTTTGCTCCTGAAACAGATTATCTGCGTGGATGAGAGTAGGCTGTACTTCAAGTCTGGAATATCTAGGTGGCGGTCATTGCTCTGTTTCATTGTCGTGACGATTTCGGACGGCACAAATTGATATTGTTATCTGCATGGGAGTCGCCATAACTGCTGAAATTTGGATTACTTCTTTCCATGCCTGAAATGCGCTGATTAAGTCTTTTGTCTGGTCTCTACGGGATTGCAACATGGATCGCGTCGTGATCCGACTGTTTGCTTACTGCAGTTACCACACTCAGTTACGTGTTGAACAATTGATACAATTAACTCTTGCTTGTCTCTCTCACACACCGTCATGAATTGTACTTAGATGACAGCTTTAAGTACGTATTGTATTACACCGATAATAACGCTCTAATTGCAAGTCCTAAAGGAGCGGCTCTTTATATGATTTTAACTACTGAATAACGTTTTAGCCTAATGCATAGATCGTTCAGCACAAGTTTCATTCTTTTTAAAGACTGTTTTTATCGGTGGTGGGGGCTGAAGAATGGGGCTACCGCCGCCTAGGTAGAGCTTTATTCACACGGCTAATTGACTGTAACATAGAGAGATAAATGGACAGTTTTTATGTCTCTAAATTGCACTTTTTCTTGCCATCAATACACGTTTTCGTCCAAATTGATTGGTCCTACTAGAGACTTTAAGATCAATTCACTTTTCATTTCATTTCTTTACCTATGATTGTACTTTTCATTTTATTTTTATATCAGGTAAAAGCATTCGGAGTCGATTTTATATTGTTCTTTTTATCTAAATGTTGATCAAGTATTTATCTCAAATACTTCAATCAAAAGCTCTTTCGAGTGTTGGAGCACACGACCTCTTATTTTTTCCGAACCTGTTTCTCTTGTGTGCAGTACATGACATGGATAAAAATGTGTTAATCAGATATAATCAAAGAGACTGGATCCATGTGCAATGGTTTCACTACATTACTGGACTTTAAATTACACAATTGTGTTTTTCGCGTTTTCTATCTTAAATCGATGAAGTGCTGTACGTTAGCAGGACGCCAATGACACACAACAAAATTACCTCAAATATTCCAAAATGCTTCGCTGTACTCAGGTAAGCTATCGCCCAAACATCCAAAATCACTTATTTGCATGGTTTTTATTTAATAAAACGATTTCTGATGAAGTGAAGGCCTAACGCGAAATTCTAGAAAAGGAACTGTTGCTTGAGACACACATTACCTTTAAATTTAAATACAACTGAAACCTTAAACGAACAATATATGTGATTGTACATGAACGGTTCTTTGGAGATACAAACTTTTTTCGTAAAAAGTGAGCTTCAGAACTGACAACTGAACAGACTGCACCAAACAAAATTTTGAAAACAAAATGTACGCCTATTACAATTTTGTCAAGTTTTGTACAAGTATTTGGACAACATAGAAAAGTGATGAAATCCAATATCCGTTTATATCGCTGTATGCTGAAAACTTTCTGAGATTCCATTTACATGTCATTACCAAAATCAGATTTTTACAGAATACGTCTCAATCCTGATGGATATATTTTATACACGAATTTCTATGGCTGAGAAAACATTTCTCCAGTATTGTACATCTACATTACTTGGACAAAATAAAGAACTAAATTTCAAGTGCAGGAATCACGTTACTGTTTACATCGCTGTAAGCTGAAGATTTATTGTCTGGGTGCATTTTTGAGGTTGCATTCACATATAATAGAAAAACTCTGTTCTTTTTTGTTGTTTTGTAAAGTATACATCTGAGTCGCGATGATGGATATCTTTACATACAAATATCTGACACAGAAAAAGTATAACATTCTTATGTGAGCAACTGTGGTGTGAAAAAAGCAGTGTTGGCTCTTCAGAATTTTTGGTTGGTTTCAGGTTGCAATACGGAAGTCCAGGCAGAATGCAATATGATATCAAAATCAAATTGATAGAATGCATCGAAATTGATTTTATTTTGTATAATTACCATGCCGTGTTATCACATCAAAGAGAAAGGCAAATTTACATATCTGCTGCAGCCTATCTGATGTTAGAAACATTCTAAGCAAACACAACCTCTAACGTAAAATAATTACAATTGTGAAAAAGATGTCAGCAGTCCTTTAGCCAGGGGTTGGACAATGACAAAGCAAACGGTCACCAGCCAGGGACGCCCAAACAAACCCCCTGGGGCGAGTCCTGAAAATGAAACTGTTCCAGGAAAATTCCAGGGAAGCAATTGCCTTTTCTGTCTCAGCCTGTGAAATTCAGCCATGTTATACAATAGCAAAGAACGGTTCGTCTTTATTCCATCATCATCAGGTTTGAAACCATTGAAGGAGCAAAGTGTTAGTGCTACACGTACAGGGTCGGATCCCCAGGATTATTTGAAGGGGGGGTCCAAGACCCCCCTCCCCCCTTTGGCGTGGGATTCGAAGGCTCCCGTAAAGTTTTGGTATTTTAGAGGGCGAACGGTGCCAATTGGTCCGGTTTCAAACTATGATTCAGCTAGTCAAAATCCTGAATTCAAGAGGGGAGCATTGGTGTAATTTTTTCAGAAATCGAAGGGGGAGGGGGTCAGGACCCCCCTGACACCCCCTAAATCCGCCACTTATGTATGATATGTCTATAACACGACTTCTTAAGTACTGAAACAGAAGTAACACGATATTCGTGTTCTGAAAGCGTCCACGCTGTGTCTGAACGCGTTGTTTTCAACATGTTTTCATGTATCTGATTAGACTAAGCATGTCTGAAAACCTAGTCCTAAACTTCCATATTCATATTTCTACCCATCTTAGGAAGGAATCAAAGCTGTGTCTGATGAATAAATGTCGGTCATAAATAGACAGATCAGAATACCAATGTAAAAGTACCATGACCTAAGGATTGAAACTTTAGTCACATATAGCAAGAAAAAAGATGTTTCAAAAAATCAAAATTGTGCATGATGTTTCCCAAACCCTCCGGTTGTCCTTATGATATTTCTTTGCGCAATATTACTCGTATTGCTTCATATAAGATAAAAGCTTTGATTCTGGACTGATTTTTTTCATAGTTTATCTCGAAGAAGTCTTTTTTAGCAACATGCTGTATCTTTATAGGACAAAAAATACAAATATAGTTTTCATTTTTTTTTTAATTTTTTTCTGAAAAGTGCAGGGCCTAGGGTGTACCGACTGAAAAATGTAGATGATTTTTGTAATAAGCTCAAAAGTTTGGAAGCGATATTAGTTCGCAAATGTTTATTTGTCAAATATATTATTTTATGATACCCATGTTAGTTTGTGATAAAATAACATAAGCAACCAAATGTTGAAAACTGACCATTCATTGCCACGATTTCGGCTGCTTGGATTGTCTTTGAGATGACGATATAAACGTATAATTCAGTTATCTGTTGATAGCGTTGATATATCCCAGTAAGTGCAATGTTTCTTAGACAAGTGTTCTAAACTAGTGAAAAAAAATATGATAAATTAAAAGCAGACATTTCAAGCAATCCCTGCCAGATAAGTGTGGGAGTGTGAACGACTGGCGACCTTCCTTTTCAAGCCGCTCTGCACAATGTCGTCTGCCAAGACTGGCTTAATGCCGGAATCTCTTCCCAAGAGTGTTCTGAAAATAATTCATCATTCTCCGAAGATGGTTCCGATGCTTAAATCAAGAGAGAAATCACAGAGCCAGACTTCCTTTATCACTTTCATGATGTCTTATACATGAACATCCATTGGGAATTATGGAGTTATAAAATGGGGGGCCATTATTTCATCCCCTAAGTTTTGCCTGTTTCCCCCTCAATGTTATTTTATATCATATTGCTGATTCATATGATATAGAAAGGGGGGCCAACATTTCGGCAATTGTTATCTGTTATTTGGAAAAGTCTCACATCTCATTGACATCATGCTGTTCCTTCTACCATCAGTTTTGTCTTCAGGGTCTGAGAAAAAACTCAAATTCCTCTGAAAGTAGTAACAGTTAGTTTAAATAATTTTAAAAGGAGATGGGACAGTATTCTTGTTTCCCTTCCACAAAGGGTAACAGCTGACAGTTATGTTTGATTTAAGTTTCAACTTGAAAGTATATTTATACTGAGGGTCTCTACTTTGGACGTTGGTATTCAATGTCACAAACTGGCTCTCTAAGTTGCTGAAATCAAAACAGATTTTGTTTACAGGGAAACGGTGAATTATCTTATCTTTATTATGTTTTATACACATGAATTCTCTTTTGTACGTGTACATGTTCGTCTTAGCTAATTTGTGTTCTCAGAAATAGTGTGAAGTAATGACATGACTCACAGAAATGCAAATATCTGAATCAAATAGAAATTACAGGAAGTAAATAAATAGATGTGCAACGTAATCAGTCAATTTTGTAATACACCGATCCTCAGGAAGGACACTTCCCACGGTTTTATTTGGTCGGTAAAATATTCTGTGAAGTGAAAAAAATAATTCTGGCTGCACGGAAACCTGCCTCCTTAGCTCTGCGGTATTGGAGGGCGCCTTGCTGGGAGGGAAACAATAACTTCATAAGATTACTAATCTGTTCATTGCGACGATTTCATTTTCATTCTGCACGGTAAATAAACATTGTGGAAACGTGTTTCAGAGAGGATGCATGGATGTAGCACCTACCCTTGGCGGAATTATTTCTATTCTTTTTTGTCTTTATTTCTGCTCGTGTGGGAGTCAGGGCTGTTTCTACTCAACTCCACTCTGATATCAGATCTAACTGTCCAGATATTTGACGAGGAAGTGGCCTGTTCTCCTGTTCACTGCCAAGTACCACGCCGTTTTTCTTAAATATTTTATTAAATAAACTAGAAAATGCAGCCAACAAGTGCAATTTGTAAACTCCTGTAAATTTTTTAAAACCCCCATTTGACTGGCTCTTGGTCTCCCACTGCATGTGTGGTAAAAAACTTAGAATGCTTCAGTATCTTATGTAGGTATCAATAATAATCCCCACTTAATGTAGGCATTTCCAGCCATTTAAAACTTAAACAATTCAGTGTATGTGCGTGTGACCGTGACTGAACTGGCAGCGTTTAATTGATAAATTGTTAGGCCCAGGAGCTGATTGTTCCACTTGGAGAGGTAAATGAATAAAAATAAAAGGCGTCTTTTTCATTTTAGTGTTGAATTCATCAGAATTTATCCTCGATTGATAGGACAAAGTGGCGTTATTTTGATCATTAAGACCATACACTCGAGCGTGGGCAATCTTAAAAATAGGAATCCAATTTGGTGATAAATTTTCACCGTGTCAGTTTATGAGAGAACAAGGACTTTCCCTAATAGGACGTTATAAAGAAATCGATAATGTTCAGGGCAAAAGGCGTAATAGACAACACTCAGAAAACCGCTGCAAATGCAGTTGCCGTTCAGATTGCGTTTGTCCAATTAAGCGGCACATCTACCACAATTACCGCTCTCTGTTGCAGCACTGGTAGTTTACTGTGATAAGAGACCGTTCGTGACGTTGGATGTATGATTTATTCCTGTTTTAAAAGTCTGATGAGACCCAGTTCTAATGACTAAAATATGTCACATTTAAAGCAATGTAGAAAATTTCATTATTAAGCAGAGTGGAGAAAGCTGCCTTAAAAAGCGAATTTAGTCTACTGTTGATATCCACTCCAAAACTTTAGGAAACATCGATTAATATCAATATCTATAATTACTTCGTGTTCTATACTGAGAGGCTGCACATCTCTCCATCTTCCTTCCCCCTCCTCTCTCTCTCTCCATCTCTCTTGCTCTCTGAACCATTCTCTCTTCCACCCCTCTCTCTCTTGCTCTCAACATTCTCTCTCCTCCACACAAACATTACACAAGTGTGCACAATAACAGCCTCCATGAACAAATAAGCCTACATAGTTTTTATTTTTGGAATATGTGGAATCTGGTTATAATAAATAATGCAGGATACAATTGTGGGCAGTCTCTATTCTTTATTTTTTCCAATATGTTGAAAGTCATTTGGCGATTATTACCAGTGATGCAAAAAAGGAGTCATATTTACCATAAAGTAAATAAAAGGTAGTGAAGGTGTTGACTACCTCTTGTGTTTATTATCATTCTTTCAGTTAAGAGCTCACATATTTACGGAATGAACAAATTACCAAAAAATCCCATGAATCTTGTCTTTCAGTTAGCTAATATTTTCTAATTCTTTAAATATATTGGACAACATGTTCTTTCTCTGTGAATTAATTATGCTTTAAAATCAATGAAACAATAATAATACCTCATCTCACTAAAAAATATAATTGTTTAAAGACTTCACAAATGTTTTAATGCAACATAAGACTTCATCTCAGCTGGCAATGGAAGAAACCGAACTTGTTGCTGGTAGTTGGGTTTCAGACAAGACCTGATTCTCAAGGAACACAACTCTTGAAGTTTACGTGGGTTAGTTGCTAATGCTTCAATAACATTTCTATTGATAGATACATAGCAATTATTTTCAAACTGTCGAAGAGTATGTATTTGTTGGATATGGTTATGGGAATTTAGTTCAGGATAAATATTGGCTCCTGCAGCATGAAGAAGCTGGATCATGTTGGTGTCTGCCTGTGTTAGCGCCGTCTCCAGCAAACCCTGCTGTTTCTCATTCACAGTGTTCAGGTCAGCCCCATAGTTGATCAAATATTTCACCATCAGTATTTTGTCATGGTACACAGCCCAGTGTAAGGCAGTGTAGCCTCTTTTATCTTTCAAATTCAGAGCCACCCCAGCCTCTATCAGCATACCTGCTAGGACTGTGTCACGGTTCTCTACACAGATATGTAGAGCTGTTTGTTTGTCTACGGTTTCCTGGTTCACACTGGCTCCATGATCCAGTAACAATTTGACTATATCTGGATAGTAGTAACACGAAGCTACGTGGAGTGTTGTCCAGCCGTCCTTATCTGCCTCATTGATTGCTGCTCCATGCTCTAGAAACAGCTTGCATAGTTTAGTGTGCCCTAAACACGCTGCAGCATGGAGGGGGGTGAACCCATTATTCTGTGCCGCATCTATATTGACATTAGCACCACAGCTGATGAGGTATTTGGCGACTTCATGTTGACCAAATGTAGCCGCCCAATGTAATGGTGTCCTCTCCTCAGCATCCAGTGTGTTTACATTAACACCAGAGGTTAATAACACCTGCAGCAGTGGAATGTGACCGTCACAGGCTGCAAAGTGGACAGGCTGTCTCTTCCAGTGATCTCGTGAGTTCCCCACAGCCAGGTTAGCACCATGACTTATCAACCAGCGGATCACATCACAATGCCCATACTGTACTGCGGCCCATATCAGGTCTTCTCCATGTTCTCTGGCATTGCAGTCTGGGTTAGAGCAACCTCCTTCTGTCGTCTTTGCTCCAAAACATATCTGTCCACTCTGCCAGAGCTGCTCTAGTCCGCTTACGTTGTTCTGAGAGACGAGGACGGCAATGCTTTCATCATTACCTACTGGTACAATAACAACCCGTGACATGCCTTCTTATTTTACCTGTTATGGTGGTCACTATCTTCACTCAAGTCCATAACAAGTATCTCTAATATCTGAAATCAATAAAGACAACAAATGATCAAGCAATATAACAGTATTAAACTATTAAACTACTGACGCCATATTTTACAGTTTGGGCATATTTTTCATACATCTGACATTAGGGACATAGTTTTGTATTATTTGTAACAATAACTAAATGAAAATAGACACCAATATTCATTATTAACGCAGTAAAAACACTGTATTGTTAGAAAATCTTAACGCACGTTGCCTTTTAAATGCATACCAGATAATTTTCTAGCATTTCAGAATCACCTTCCAGTGACATTGGAAGACATGCATGAATAAATTAACTCGAGGTATACAGACTCCATAAGATGGCAAACCACTGTTAATTCTTTGAAAAACTATTATTTTTTCCGTTAAATAACTTACTCATGATGCCATGTGTTACAGACGCAGTAAGTCGATTTATTTGCAATTTTTTTCTACTTTGCTGCAGCAGCATCTTGACGTACTCAGTACTTGAAGTCGTCACTTTTACGACAATAATACAAGAGTGCAAAATATATGCTGATCAATAGAATATTACTATATAAGCATTTAATGTGAATATCTAAATTCATGCTCACTTTATATAAAACTTCTTTAAAATATCCTCAGTTCGGCATTTATTCTACCGGTTACGACGGCTGAAGGGTTTGATAAGTACCCACCTGCGATCAGTCATATTTTGTCCCACGTTTTCCAGATTGTTGAAAGCTGCTGACATTCAAACTCCGGAATTAGGAGCAGGTGAGTGACATTATTTCTCACGACACTAGGAGACCGTTCCCCTATTTCACACACATTTTCATTTTTGTTCTCGTGTAAGATATTCGGAAATAAATGTTCAATATGACAATATGGATTTCGACATCTGATTATGAATATCGAAAATTTAACTTCAGAAAACGATTTCGAAATCTTAGTGCTGTATTCAAACCTCCTTGATTCAGCAATATTTGCCACAGTGTGTTGATATTGCCATCGAATGCATTGCACTTTTAATAGGATTTTCCCCAGTTTTAAACCATATTCTTTAATTTTTAATGTAGCCTATTGTAGGGTAACAATAATGTCCTAACCACTTGTTTCCAGGTTGACTTCCAGCCATATTTTTACTCCAGACATGGCGGAGTTTCAGGCAGTGATCATGGCAGGAGGAAAGGGCTCCAGGATGACAGACCTGACAGCTAAGATACCTAAAGCACTGCTTCCTATTGGAAATCTGCCAATGGTTTGGTATCCTATCAACTTGTTGGAAAGATCTGGATTTGAAGGTAAAACACAAGGTGACCCCCCTCCCCTTATATGGCCACACGGGAATGCCCTTGATTGAAAAAGATGATAACTATAATTAAAAAATAAACATAATAGGATAATATGCAAGATTGCCATTGTTCTTGAACTTTCCTAGATTTGGTATAGATAGCAAGCGCATATGTCAAACAACATGTTACATCTTTAAGTAACTACAAACTCAAAAATTGCATTCTTAGACATTGAATTCATGCAAGTGTTCTCATGATGTAACAGGGGCGGATTTAGGCCGTCTTCTGGGTCTTCCGGAAGACGGTCAGATTTTCAAGTTTTCATTGACAGGTATCTGATTTTTTCTGTTGGAAGACAGTCAAAAATTAAGGATGGATCAACAAAGAAAATACGGAAGACTGTCAGAAAATATCTCTGGATCCGCCCCTGTGTAAAGACAGTAGAAAAATTGTTCAGATTTATATTTTTAACCTCATAGAGTTATATATGATACGTAGAAGAAAATTGCTAAGGATTCCAGAGAAATTTGAAAACTTACTCTTTTTCATGGCAAAATCTCAATTATTTCTCGTTTGTTATTGAAATATAAGCTTGATGAATATAAATGTTTCACACGTATTTAATTTTGTTGTAGATGCCATTATCATTGTCCCTGCATATTTCAAAGCAGAGATAGAGAGGGCACTGCAGATGTGCGAGGTGAAGTTAAACCTGGACTTCGTTGAGGTGCCAGATGATGAAGACTGGGGAACATGTGACTCTCTGAGACACATTAAAGATAAAATAACAGTAAGCTGGAAATAGATTAGTCAAGTTTTTTTATGTTGTATATGTAATTTCCCATAGTAGGATACATGTTTGAAATTAAAAGATTTTCTCTTTGCTTTATCTTTTCAGTTTTCTACTATTTGAGATATAGTAAATGTAACAAGTTGGTACAAACTTGCATATAATATCAAAACCTGTCTGGCCAATAGAGTCATTTCTTTCTGTTCATCTTCAGATATCTAGCCAATAAATGCCTTTCTCTCTGATCATCTTCAGACTGATTTGCTGATAATAAGCTGTGACCTCATTGTGGATTTTCCTCTGAATGCCCTGGCTGATGTTCACCGTACATATGACGCCACCGTCACCACTCTGATGTCTGTGGCGCCAGAAACTTTCACAGAACTCACAGCACCAGGGACCAAGTCCAAGAGAAAAATGGGTACTATGTGGAAATTGCCCTGTTTCTGAAAATAGCATATTATAAGCATGACACAAATGTGGCAGTGTTATATTTGTCAAATATTTTGTATGATTGGTAATATAATAATAATAATAATAATATATTTATTTCAAGTCTAAAATCCATAAAATGTTCAATAGACTGTACAACATAAAATACAAAGAAGTTTATAGATAAAAATGGTTAAGATATATTTTATATAAATAAGAGCTAAACTAACTTAATTGTAATAAACAGTAATTAAAAGTAAAAAATCCAAGGTTTCTTTAAAATTATAAAATTTAAGATTCATGAATAAAATGTCTTAAAAATATGAGTTTTTAATCCCTTTTTAAAAGATTCTTGTGATTCTATTTGTCTAATAAAAATTGGCAACTTATTCCACTCTACTGGTGCAGCTACACAAAATGATATGTCACCATATGATTTTAACCTTGATTTTGGAACTTTCAGTAAAAGTTTGTCACCAGACCTCAGGGATCTTTGAGGGCTATAATGTTTGACTAAATCAGTTATATATGGTGGTAACTTTTACTGATATTTTTTACGTATTTGATCATCATATTTGGAGCACCAGATCAAGTTTTCTTTTAACAGTAAATAATGAATAGCTTTTAAATTTCAGAACACGATTTTGTTGGTTTAGATGAAAAGGGCAACAGACTCTTATTCCTCGGTTCTGATGCAGATTTTGAAGAAACTGTTACTTTTAAAAAGTCACTTTTAAAAAGGTATGGCATATTTTATTTATTTATTTTTCTTATAGACAGCGGTAGAATGTAAGTGAAATAACAACATATTTTCTAGTGTAAGTGCACAGATGGTTCCTACTGGACAAAATTAAACTTGCTGGTAGATTTTCAATTTTTGTATTATTAGTAGAGGGAGTATATTTTCACTTTTTCTCTCTTTCCAGGCATCCATGTATAAATATCAGGACCAAGTTATTAGATGGTCATCTCTATTTAATGAAAAAGTGGGTGCTTGATTATTTAGCAGAGCAGAGGTATGGTTTGCTATAAATTCATCTGTTATAGTGAATGTTTCAAATTATTTGGCACCAAAGTCATTCAGTTTCTAATATATGTAATAAAAAAGCATAAATAATGTCTGATTTGAAAAAAAACGTTTATTAATTTTTCATTCCTCTTTTGATCAATAAATTTAAATTCTTGGCTGTAAGAAATGTATTGAAATTTATTACTGGAATGAAACACAAGACATTTTTTCATGTTTTTCAACCATTTTAGTATTCTTTCTAGTGAATATTCATTTCATGTTAATATTTCTGTTTTCAGCTCACTAACAACTCTCAAAGGCGAACTTGTACCATACTTAGTAAGGAAACAATTTTCTCAAGCAGCCAAAGTGCCAGAAAAAGATCTCCCAAATGCCAACGCCTCAGTAATCTCTGTAGCTACAGTAAAAGGTACTCACTACCACTCTTAAGTATTTGGTACTGTCAGGAATCATTTCATGGAAAATTCTTCCAAACTGCCAGTGCCATATAACCTGAACTGTACTGCTCCCATGTTAACATCTATATGCTAGAAACACAAGCTACATCATTTCTCTTGTATATTTATGGTAGAGATGTTTGAAATTAATTCAATATTAATCAAGAAGAATGTCTAAAGGTTAAAAAATTCTTTATAGCATTTCATGTCATGTGGAAGTGAAAGCTGCAATAAATTGGCACATTTCAGTTTTTGCAGTTTGGTTTAAAAACATGACTACCATGGAGCTGCGACTTATTAATTTGCATGATTATTTCCCCCCATTATTTCCAGATATATATGGTTTTGCTGTAGAAGACAACATGGCAGGAATAACCAGAGAATACTCAAGCTGGAATGACCACAGTGGAGATATGGAGGGTTGTTACCATGGCAACAAGATAAGGTGTTACACTCACATCCTGAATGAGGGGTTCTTGCTCAGGGCCAACACGGTGGCCACTTACTGCGAGGCCAACAGACAGGTAGTCTGCTGATTTCACTAGGGACATGAAATTGAGGACAAGTTCTGTTATTTGGATAGCTTTGAGTTAATGAAACTGGTTTTATTATACAATGTTATTTAAAATAATTTGTGAAATTCCCAGAAGACTATTTCCATCATTATTAGTGAATCCAAGAGTCTCTTTGAGATGAATGCCAACACAAAATGCTGCAGAGAAGCAACTGGAATAAAATGTCTCCTCGCTTGAAAGAACTATACACTATTTGGTATGTTTTCAGATTGCTAAGCTGCTGGCATCTCTGAGGCCAAGTAAAGATGTGAAACCTGTCCACCCTACAGCTACTGTTGCACAGAAGGCTCAGGTAAGACTAAGTGGTCCTGTTCCTGTGATCTCTGTCTCTCTCTCCAGCTGACATAATTAAAGTCCCGTGTCCTCTACCATGCTTCATGTTTGTCTCCAGCTCACATTTCTACACTTAGATATAAGCAGTATGCAATGTAAACCTTTTAACAGTATTTAGGTTTTGAAAATTAATGATAAAGTCTATTATACTTAGATTTGTAAGGCTGATCTGAGGGGACGAGGATAATGTATTCCCAGAAATGTAGGTCTTAGCATGCCTTTGATATGTATTAAACCTAAAGCTAGGCTTTGTTAATGTTGAAAAATCCTCAAATCTTGAAATATTCATCAAGGTCAATGTTTTAATGAAATGTTATCAGGTTGGTAATGACAGTCTTGTTGGTGAGGGTGTCACCATTGGGGAGAAGACCTCTATCAAGAAGTCAGTGATAGGAAAACACTGCAGCATTGGAGAGAAGGTGAAAATCACCAACTCTGTGATTATGGACCATGTGACCATCAAAGAAGGGTAAGTTACTAACTCAGAATGTGATCTCAGAGTGCACATGTATTGAAGAAATATGTAGTATATCTTTGTAATACAACCTGGTAAGATGTGTACATTGAATCTATAGGAGACATGTTAATCTGATTGCATTCAACAAAATACCTGTGGAAAACGGTTTATTTTCTCTCTTTATAGAGACAAATTTCAAATAACCAAAGGTTCAGCTATAAATCACACTGTATTTTATCTGTCTACCAGCTCCAACATCCAGGGATGTATACTGTGTGACAATGCACACATCAATGAGAAGTGTGACCTGAAGGACAGCATGGTGGGTAGTGGACAGAATATAGTAGCCATGGGTAAGATATGGACCACAGACAATCAGCACTTTGTCCCCTAAAGATACATCTGAAGCAAGAGTAAATACCCTGTAAACTTGCATGAATTATCACTGCTAGTTCCTTATTTAATGCCAGTTTTGGTCTCTTCAGTATATCAAACTATCAATGTGTCCTTAAGGACATTGTAGTGGGCAGTGGACAGATGACCAGGGGTAAGATAATGACTAAGGATAATCAGCACTTTCTTCCTTAAATTCTGTATCATTTCACAAGATTTGCTGCCAGACTGTTGTGAATTAGTCTTTTCAGTGAACTATTTCTTCATCAGTAGCCATGTGATTTGGAGTAGAGCATGCTGACATATCAATATCAGAAGTAATTTTGACAGTTTGGTAATAAATTATCTTTTAGGGAAATTTACAAATGAAGTGATAGTTGATGTTGATAGAATGATGACCATCTAGTCTGACCTGTAACCATAGCAACAGAAGATAAAACAGACGGCAATCCTGGACCTGTTCTGCCTGGAGATAATTCCTAGGACCAGATCTCTGTAGAGGTCAATGTGGTGGTTACACAGCAGTGTGGTCTCAGTGTGTTACAGAACCCAGTCTGCAGAGGACATCCCAGTCAAACAGGCCACAAGCGTGACTTTTCTAATGCCACAAATATGATTGCTATAAGAGATTTTCTCAAACAGAACAAAAAATTCTGCAGTTTGAAATCCCCTTAGTGTGAAGTCTACCTACTAAGTTCAGAGGAAGAGATTAGGTACTAAGTCTAGTGTGAGATACTCTTGCTGGCCCGCAACAGGCTCTGGAATATTTTCAAGACAATTTTCAGTCAGATGGGATCATTTATTATTGATATTTGAACAAAAACCAAGTTTTGTTGCGCTTGTGAAGATTTGGCTACATAGAAATATTTACAGAAATGTCTACATGATATATGGAAGGCACATTACACAACAGCTGATGGTGGGGGGACAGACAGAGAAATTGTATCATAGTCAAAGATAAGTCTAGGCAAAGATTGCTACGAATTTCTAGCAACCAAAAATGCTTGTCATTAAAAATGATAAAGACCCAGTAATACATTGTTTCTTTTAAGTCATTAAATGAAGCCTCCAGAGTGAATGATTATTATTTTGACCATGCATTAGATCTTGTGTAGTGGTTGAGAATAGTTCATAAACTAGGACAGTTGAATTATGCAGAAATCTTGGTTATAAAATTGGTTGTGGGCCAGTTATTTATGTAAAACTGAAACCAATACAACCCACTTTGTTTTCAGATTCAAAACATCTAATCTAGGCTCAACAAGGACATTTGAAATGTGAAACATCTGCTGAACACAAATTGGTTCAAAGTGAAAGGAAGGCAGTCAAGAAAACATGGAATAAATTATTTGAATCATATTTTAATCAAATAATAATAAAAAATTATCATATAATAATTATGTTGGTAATAAATAAATGATATTTCTTTTGATTTGTTTGATCTGTAAATACAGACTAGAGGCTATTGTTTGCAATGTTATTTTGTAAATACCTGCAAAACAAAGGAAATTCACGACCATACTACATGCTACCTAACAAATCTTATATACACTACAATTGCAAACCTTAAGCTACATCTACAATACCCGATTCAGCAAAACTACTCTTAATACGTAAAACAATATCTGCCTTGCAGCTGTGGGGAAATGTCAACTCCAAGGCATGCTGGGACAGAAGACGTGGAACAAAATGTCTAACTAAATGACCAGCAGTTCACGTCTGACTCCCTTGCATATATCTGCCTGCCTTAATGTGACTGATGAGATTTCTTCTACTCTGACTAATCAAATATTGTACTTAATAAGCTGTTCATGTGGCTCCATAGTACATAGAATCTCATTTTAATGTTTATCTTTCACATTTATAGAAAGCAGAATTTCCAATTCATACCAAAAAGAGAACCTTTTTTTTCCAAAAAAGAAAAAAAGCTTCAAAAAATGAAGAGTTATGGTGGGCAAATTGCACAGAGCCCATTAGCTAACAATAGTGATGCGTTGTATGTCCACAAACATGAAGAAATCCTCTGAAAAAAATACAATTGCAAAATCAAGAATCCACTGGAAAAATGTTTGATCTTCAAGTTTTGTTTATATTGCTATAATGCACGGCGTTAGCACCTCCAAGCACCAGTGGTAGAACTAGGAACGCTAGTCTGTGAACTAGAACTGGACAAGATCAATAAACCTAGAACATGTTTGTAAACACCAAAATACCATGTAAGCTTGACTTGAAATGAGGTAGAAGATGCTCCACACGCATCTTGCCCTGTACTTTACTTATGTGAGATATGTACAAGTTTCACATTCTCCTAATGATTACACATATATAAGTAATGATTCAACCTATGAGGCCGTCCCTTTGGTCATCCTAGAACAGCATGCAGTAAACTGATTACATACCGAAGTAATTTAGCACCAATAAAATATTATTATTTCTTGGAATTCCTTATGATCCATTCATTGATATTCTTGGCAACTGATACTCCAGAGGCAGTTGAATCCCCCACTGGTTCATCTAAATAAATGACTGGACAGTTTCAGTTATGATTGATATACTTGACTTTCTGTATGTTATAAAGAAATATACTTCCTAATTTACATCACTTGAGACACTGTATAAACTGGTCTCAAACTGTGACTTGAATACATATATGTAGGCAACATATGTCAGGATTAATTACAGTATCTTTCTAATTGATTTCTATTCAACCATCCCTTCTTTATAATCAACTCTGAACCCCCTGGAAGCAGAAACCTATTTGTTAAACAACAAAAGGGGTAGACCTCTTTACACATGTATCGTGTAGCAATTCTACTTATAATGTTGCTTTTTGCCCCAGTACAGAAATATCATTTGGGTCTGCATATCCTCAAGTGCCAGTGAATTGAACATGGAGAACAACAACATAAAGTATACACAACAACAACTGTACTTATTAACACTGTGGAATATATTATATATAGATACAGATATAGGAATATATATATTTATATATATATCAAATTGGCAATCTTGCACAAATACATAGTATTTTCAAAAAGAGATCCCAAGGAATTACTTATTTTTTATCATCTGGGCCTCAATATCAAAGGCCAAACCTTTCCTTGATCAAATACATCAGTTTTTTCTTTCCTTTGTAAATGAATTTCATGTTCTCTATGAGCTGGGCAAACTGTAAGTGGCCATCGTGAGCCAGGAGAAATGTCTCCCGCGCTTTACTCAGGAAGTCAATGAAGTCGCCATAGTGCCGCGGACTGATGTGTGTCAGGCGAGAGTGTGTTGTGCTAATGTAGGCGTGGATTGTTGCATCCAACAGCTGCCGTAATGGAGGTTTCTCAAAGGAGAGCAGTTTGAGTGGTTTCCTCTTTCCGTCAGCGGCTGCCGTGGCCATGCCTGGAGCTGTCATGGAGAAGCGTCGCAGAATGTCGGATAATACTGTTGCACACTTGACATTCTTCATGAGCAGAGGTATCACAGTGGAAAGTTCATTTTTGCCTAAGGAATGACTCAACGCGCACGCCCAGTGTATATCATTGATGGCAGGATGGGTGTCTTGGTTGTATGCCAGGTGTAAATTTTTTAAAGACAAGAGGGCCAGTTCATACGCCCTGTGAGGGTAACCCCTGTGTTCCATATACCTAGCAATGGTAAACAACTGACTAGATGTCATGATATGCTCCGCGGCATCAATCACAATTTGATAAGCTGTCTCAAATGCTACGGGGTCTTTCTCACACAGATTCAGGGCACACAAGGCACAGTTTGGAGGGTCTTTGGAGGCACACTGTAAGGCCAGAGTCCGTGCACAGCTTGCCAGCTTCTCCTGCTGGTGGTAGTTCAGAGACATCTGGATGATGGTGGCTGGTGACATCACCGTGGTAGCAACTGTACCTGAAGTCAAAATAAACAGTCATCAACACTATTGTTAAGACCTCCGCACTGCAGGAAACTGTCTGGATTAACACCTCTTCAATAAATGCAGTTAACCCACCACTAAGTCGGTTAAACACCTGGTAATAATTAAATTAACACATTACAAGGCATTCAAAAAAGACCTTATAACATTTCATTAACACGTGGCAAAGTAGATTTAATAAGTCACTTAAACATCATGTAATTAAATTTAATAAGTCACTTAAACATCATGTAATTAGTTCACATGTGAAAAGGTGATTTAATGTCACCTGACAACAATTCATTAACACTTAGCAAAGGTGTTGATAAATCAACTGATTATGTGAAACTGATGTAACTAATTTCTTTACAGCAGGCCAACAACATCTACGCCTTAATTTAATACTTTTATCCTTGTATACTATGTAGACCAACCCGGTCTTCTAGCAGGCTAAGAGCATTTACGCTTGAATCCAATAGTGTATTCTGGGCACAGAAAACTTAATCCCATCTAAAGTCATATGTCAAAGTGAAAAAAAATACCCACTATAGACAACGTTATAGTTTTATACTGCCAAAACTGACTCTCACCTGTAGCTTCTAGTGGAGTGAAGAATGTATACCAGTTCCTGATGATAGACATAAGGGCATCCACCCCCACCTCTATAGCACATGTGACCAGCCAACGCACCATCTCACGACGTCGCCAGTTTAAGGTGGACAAGGTCATTCTCATCACCTGTGTGTAGATAATTATATTATAGAAATACTAATACAGTTTAGGGGGGACAGCATCATCCTCATTACATCTGCTTAAATACTTATACAAAGGAAATTATTTCTTACAGGAGAATTTGGCTCCAAGGTCTTTTTCACCATTCAGATCCAAGTTTTTTCTTCCTAGACTCTCTTGTAACATTTCTTCACAGAAAGCTAATATCACTAGGGTTAATAACACAAGGAAACTTTCAGAAGAGAAATGCTTATGACACACAAAATGATAACATATTTCATACCACACTGCATGGTTCAGAGAGTATTTTACCTGTAGACCAAGCTCCAGGGCCACATTCAGCAGAGGACCATGCTTGGGACCCTCAGCTGGGGTGGCAATCTTAAATGCATCCTGGGCAACACGAAATAACTGTGACGAACTGTGGATGTTACGCTGAGCAGACTCCAGAACTGTGCGCAATCGTAGCATGTCCGCTGTAAGAAAAAACATATCACAATTATTTCAAAGTTCAAAACTTTTGGAAACAACTTCATTAAATGCAGCTAAAGATACGGTACTATTGAGTGTGCAATCCATACTTTCTGATTTTTTTTTAAACAGTGCAATTCAAGTCTTTTTGACTCAAACCATGACTCAGGGATGAGACCAGTCCTCACTCAAGTAGGAAAATTGGCCGGGGGTCCAGGGTTCATGATTCACAAGAATGACCAAAATGACCCTGAAAAAGTCGGAATTCCAACAGAAGTCGGAAAAACCTCATCAGTGATTACTAAGGAAGGAGAGCATGACAGGGAAGAGGGCTTACTTTTAGCAGCACTGAGCATGGTGGAGGCGAGTTCACACTGTTGAGATTCCAGATGTCCTAAAGTAAACCAGCGAGGATAACGACTGATCACCATAGGTGCTAAGTTACTGAAAGCATCCTCTGTGTCATCACTGTCTTCAAGTACGGGAAGTCTGGAAGGCAAAGAGTGACATGTCATATATTGCAAAGGATCAGCTACAGCTTGTATCAATAGAAAACAAATTACAACACCTGGAAAATATTAGTGAGAGAAATTGTCCTTCTTGAAGTTAAGTTAAACTCTTGTCCGATATCCAGGTTTATCTATACGGCCTACTCTTTTATAATATCATCTTTGACAAAGAGGGCACTGTGCACAGCCCTACCTCATGGCGCGTAGTCCCACTCTGTACGCCAGGTCTGCGTCATGGGGGAGAAGACTGGTGAACAGGTACTTGGCAAATGTGTGCATAGGGATACTCTCAGAGTGAATACCAACACCCAGGCCACTATTGGGACCACCTGGAATATACACATATAAGGACTGTTATTTATTTATTTATTTAATTTATTTATTTATTTACTTATTATATATATATTTCAATTTTCATTTTATGTTAATACATAGCCATGTTAATCACAGACTTAAACAGGAAAGGATTTCACAAGGGAATTCCAAGCCATATTGTAAGAAGATGAAGCCATTTTATTACATCCTTCTCTTCTTTATATGATGCTACTCATAACACTGCTCTCAGTTGTAAGTTCAATAAAGATCTACACTACAATAGATAACTGACATTTAACTGCTTTCTGTAAAATAATTTACTATATTACCAACCTTCTAACAACAACACTGCCTGTTTTCTCATGACAGCAATGAGAGTAGAATCCAACGGAATCTCTGTCAGCCGACCAATCAACTTCTCCTCCTGTTTGCACGCTTTCTCCTGGGCATAGACGCCACCAGGCATCAGACGCTGCTGTCCTAGACCTAGAATACATGGGAGATAGCACTAGGCTATTGACATAGAATAGCATAATCACCTCCACTGTTATGTATAACAAAATGTATAACAAAATACCCATGCAAGACTAAGAGTACCGAATTTTTGAGATAATAATTCTCATTGAAAAGAGCACAATTCATTAGTTCCTGGAGGTCTTACCCATGAGCGCCACTTCTATGGCCAGAGTGAGGTAGGATTCCGTGTGGTCACGGTTACCAGATATCGGCAGATGTTGATACCTGGTTGCTATGGTAACACTGCTGCTGTCACTGCCACCAAAGGCTCGCGTGCTGAATGAATCAACTGCAAAGAAACAATGAAATTAACGAAATAAATACTAGTGCCTTCTACACCATTTATAATTCAAAATTCAAAGAGCGCAAGTCCAAAACCAATATGACTTATGCTGTAATTTAAACAAAGAGCTTCATATTCTTTTAAACAGGACGCCAAGGCTGAAAACAGTTTATATCCATTTTTCCAGCATCTGTTCTCATATGTCACTAGATGTAAACATGTGCCATGAAACATGTGCAACGCTGCAGGACACAATTCAAAAATATAATACATGGAAAAATATACGATACAAGAACTAACAGAACAGAATACATTAAAAACAAACTGAAGGTTGGTACCATCAGAACTCAATAAACATGGACCAGTGACATAGAAAACATTTTAAAAACTATCAGCTAGTAACATTGTGATATAATAATTCTGTATAAATAACAATAAACTGCCTTTGTTTTATAAAAATAGAATCAAATTAAAAACTTTTTTATCTGCCACCCTCACAAGACTCATTCCTGCCAGTATGTGAATGAGGCAATATTTACCTGAGGAATCAGAGCTAGAGTCATCTATGGCTGTGGAGGCTTCCAGCAGAGTATCAAAGAGGCAGCCAATGGGGTCCAGGGGGTGGCCTATCCAGCCCTCAGGGGACACCGGGGGCGGTGGAGACTGCTGCTTGGGGCTGCTATGCTTAAACCCTGAAATTAAACACAAATAATCTGAAATTCACTCTCTTTTAGACATTTATCAAATTTCAAACAAAAACAAAAGATAAATTCAAGAATCAAAATGGTTTAAGGTAGATATATCTTTTCACAATCAGAAAATGACAACTGGATCTCTGATAATTAACACTTCAGTTTCAGTGTCAAAAAGTCTAAAACCTAAAATAGAGGATGCAATAGTGTAATTTTTTAATATGTTTAGAAAAGTATCAACCCCTCTCTGCAACATAGAACTCACCTTTTTCTAGTCCTTTCCTGTATTTCTCTTGATCTTCTCGCTGCCTCTTTTTCATGGTGCGAACAATGACCACAGCCAATCGAAGAGCTTCTTTCATGTAACCATGAGAACGCAAAGCATCTACTCTGGCACAAGCTGTTGAAATGTCCTCTGAAAAAACAATGACAAAAGAAATGTGTAAATACTGCTTCTGATACGTCTAAAATGTTATTCTTTACATCAATAACACTGCATGGTATAATACAATTTGCACTGATACACAAAAAGGAGAAAAAATTATTATGTTGCTTATATGGAAAATGCTTCCCATCTTTTTACTTCTTTACAAAGAACAATAACAATATGTAATAACATCAAAAAGTAATATCAACATAAATTAGGCATATCATAAATATCATTTCTTTTATCTGAAATAACTTATCCTACCATCCCATAAAGGTAATCCCTGGGAGTCAAACATGGTGGACCTATCACATCTCTCCTCATAGTAGCAGACATCTTCTCGTAGCACCATTTGTAAATGAGGATTGTTCCATGTCAGCTGACAACCCTCCAACGCGCGATGGAATATGGTGCGCGGCTTTGGTCTCTGTGGGCGTGTGGAGGGACCAGGGTTCTCGTCATCAGAACTGTCATCATCGCTCTCCTGGTTGTCATAGGCACTCCTGTTATCTGCGTCCTCCAGGGGGCAGGACGCCATTAGAGACCACTTGTCTAACGCCTCATTCCAGTGGTCTTTGTCACTTTGGTTGATATTTGGGTTCAGCACCACACACACCCATAGAGCACCTGCCAAGGAAAAAAACAGTGGATTAAAATTAGGAGAAATATAGGTTAAGGCTGAAATGATTTGTCATACAACTTCAGAAATATATTTTACTACAATTAGATATGAAGGCTTTATAAGGAACTGACTAGATTCATCACTTCATTTCCTTGGATTGTAGTTATTTGTTCAGACACATTTTTTGTTTGATCTAACTGAAACAAAGTTAGCATTTTGTAAATACACAGACCCTCTGCATAAATTCCCTTGTCCCTTAGACATTAAACACAAGTATCTTACAGCTAGGCTTATTTTCACGACCCAATCCCTCCCAGTTTACTGACCTAATTCATCCCAGAGTTGGCGACACTTGTCTGTCATGGGCGTGCCTTGGGTCCTCCACACTGGCAGCCGTGGGTCTTCCAAAAACTGCTCCGTGATCAGAGTCAGCATTCTAGCACCATTGGAATCACGTGCACGCAGCATTTCACGCACCTACGAACAGATAATAGATAACAGCCATTAGAGATCAATACACACATTATTAAGTCAATGCTGGAAGGTGAAATGACTGTGCAGGTTAGTGACAGTGAGTTATGTGGTGATTAATACCCATATCTAAAATATAGATGATATCCTGCTATATTCAGTATAACTCAAGTGTGATATAAAGGTCACACCTTAGTCACAATACCAGAATATCAGAATATACTTGATGCTTCATCTGACTGTTTAACAATTTATTCTTACAAAACCATACTACATGCCAAATTCTGAAGCTGAGGTGAAGCAGAGGTGTAACAGATCCTGTTCTTTACAGTCTTACCTTAGCAAACATTGCATTGAGTTGGTTGGATAAGTTGTAGTAGTATATTATAACACACTGACCAGGAAGTCTTACCTTAGCAAACATTGCATTGAGTTGGTTGGATAAGTTGTAGTAGTATATTATAACACACTGACCAGGAAGTCTTACCTTAGCAAACATTGCATTGAGTTGGTTGGATAAGTTGTAGTAGTATATTATAACACACTGACCAGGAAGTCTTACCTTAGCAAACATTGCATTGAGTTGGTTGGATAAGTTGTAGTAGTATATTATAACACACTGACCAGGAAGTCTTACCTTAGCAAACATTGCATTGAGTTGGTTGGATAAGTTGTAGTAGTATATTATAACACACTGACCAGGAAGTCTTACCTTAGCAAACATTGCATTGAGTTGGTTGGATAAGTTGTAGTAGTATATTATAACAGACTGACCAGGAAGTCTTACCTTAGCAAACATTGCATTGAGTTGGTTGGATGAGTTGTAGTAGCCTCCCTGAGATAAGTAAGTTTTCACCTGCTCCTGAACCTGCTCCTCATCTAAGTGCCAACTACTGTCATCGTCAACAGAAGCACCAGCTGTAGGATCTGGGGCACCTGCAGAAACACAACACAAGATTTACATACACACATACACACACACACATGCACGCACACACACATGCACGCACGTACACACTGGAATACAATATACAAGGAATTAAATTTTTAACTATATGCAGTTGTTTAGGCTGGTTAGAAGGTATCTAACAGCACTGAATTTTACTGAGCAAAAAAATCTTTAGAAATGTAAAACTGGTGAAATAGATCATTCATTGTTGGAATAAATCTTGTTATCCCATAAACTGTTGTTAAGAATGTGTAGCCACTTAGCATGCAAGATATGCAGGAAATTTCTCTTCACAAAGGACCCCTATAACAATTAATTCTCCAGATCAAACAATACTGCAATCGCATAAATTAAAACTGGTTTGAGATTTTTTCTCCTTACAACACAACACCCCCTCCATGACACCTGGATAAGGGCTGCTCTTAGTTGGAGGACCAATTAGATCAAAACCAGTCCTTTTTTTCTTTTCCAATTTGTCCTTGGCCAAATGTGTTCTCAGTTTAAGTGAGCTGTATTCTTCTTCAGTAAAATGGAGGCAGATACATCATATCCAATATGGAATCTTCTGTTATTTGACTTTGAATAAATCATGCAACAAATTACTCAGGAACATACTTCTTTACGTGCAAGGTTTTAATTTCTGCCTTGAACAAAAGACCGATTAACTTCACAATATCAAGTTATTACTAAGTATTGAAAGGAAAAGCCTGTATCATTCAAATGTAATGAGGTGTATTTTGTAAGTACCCACATATAGACTAGAGAATAAAGGACCAGCATATGTACCTCATGGTTTTACATAACAACATTGATATCAACTCTAAATAACAGAGAGAGCAGGCTGCTCTAATCTAGAGTGTCACATTGAAAATGATATGTATGTTGAGTTATAATTCCATCTGACACAGCTATTATAGCAGATGTGACAGTGATATTGCAAATGTAAGCAGTATCTCCAACAGAATTTCAACTAGCTAAGTTCTGCCATGTTTCCGTCATCAGTGTCCAATGTAAAGAGTACCACATGGCATCTACAGGCCACACCCATGTGGTGCACATAACAGAGGTTAGGAATAAATTTGATCTATTTTTATTCTTGGTTTTAAGACAAGTTTTAATTATGGTCCCTGGCAACCCTGTCAGACTTCCCCCTCTTTAACTTTATCTGTTTGCTCTTCAAAAGAAAAACGTACCAGCAAATAAATTAATTTGGGACTTGGCTTGTAAAATCTCGTCTGCTAGTTTCTGTGCTGTTGGCAAGACGTCAGTATGGTGAGCTGAGATCAAATACTGAGCAAATTTCTGCAGCTGCTCGCGGCTCATCTGCAGCAGTGTTTCTGAAATAGGGAAAGTTACATGCATACAACTTAACTTCAAAATGATGCTTCTTTAACAAACTAATATAAATGCCAAACACAAACTTGGTTTTCTCGTTTATACAAATAAGGACAGAAATAAATTATTTATAAAACTAATGAGAAAATAATTTCTTTCATAAGTCCTGAATTCACCATTATTTTAATTAAACGAAATATCAAACAGAATAATTAATGTATCAATAACCAGGATAATCAAAGGCTAACAATGTTACTGGTGACAACTTGTGTTAAATATTGCACAGTAATCTGATCTCTAGATGTAAATTAACATTTCTCAATACTTGGCACCGTGGAATCATAATCATCACACAAGTTGATATTGCAAGAAAAGGGTTATATAAATTCTAGAGGTCTAGGATAGGCTCGTCTTGCCGTGTCCCCCTACCTGATATTGGCACCCTGAGCTGTATGTTGCTGGCTTTGCGTATCCGATACAAGGATAACGCCACCACATGGTGACACCAGAAGATATCTTTGTTTCCACAGCCACATTTCACTGAGGTAATTTTGCATCTGCAAAAGAAACATTATTCACTAATGAATTCAACTGCCAGTCAGTCATGGCTTCATTAGTTACACTAATTGGTGATTTACATAAAGCCAGACTCTGGTTGTCATGGCAGCAGACCATTTATCAATAACAATAAAATCTCTGAACTCACGGTGTTTCACTTGATCATCAAACATATAAAACATATTTCTTAATTAGGGTAGCACACTTTGGATACAGTTTAGCCTAATTCATACATGTATCCATACTAAATAAAATCTCAAACTAGTAAACAATACCAATTCTGACACAGTCTCAGTATTTTACAATTTTTATCAATAAATTGTGTGGGGTGAAATAATAAAACTAATCTCTCAAGTAACATTTTAGTCTCCACCCCTCCCCTTTGTTAATTGTAATTTGTTCACTATGTACTGTACAAATGGGAGTTCTTTGTTCTGTCAAGTAATCCAAGTTAATATACCAGGAGTGATTCAAAGCATGAAATCTGCAATGAAAGGCAAATCTAAGGTAACACTGGGCACTGGATTGTCCTTCTGGCTCTCAGACCACCTGATTATAGCTCTTGTGGTCACTAAGGCCATAAAACTTACAACTCCCCAGCATGTCATTAGAACTTTTACTGCCTGATGCTGTCATTTATCAATGCATAATGTTTGGTGAAAGGCAGTTATCATGATAACTGGTCCACAGCATGCAGCTCAACTCTGCATAGATGCAATTTGGCATCAGATTATGTCCTAACCGCTGACAATATCGTCTTCCTAAAGAGAGCAGGCGACACTCTAAAGACTTCCTCCATATTCACAAGAACAATACGGGCAGTAAAGAAAACCAGAATGTTCAATAATTTACTGATAATGACAAGTCTCATTACTGCATTTCTAAACCAGTGCCAGACATTGGGTCGTTAAGTACACAATAGTTATAGATAAATAACACTTTGATGCTTTCTTCACTTGTTCTGTGTCCAGGCTGACATGGACAAAGTCTTTGTGCTTCTGACCTTGGGACAGCGAAATCTGTGATAGCAGAGTTTAGACATCAAATTATAACATGTAGTGATAGTCCACAATGCAGTCATACCAATCACAGATCAAACTTCTTCCTTGTGTGGACATGTAAGGAGTATTGTACATTGTATCTGTGTAAACACTGGCAGATAGCCATAAAGATATGGACTGCATAAAATGATAAGTTTTCATTCACAAATATCTTATCATGCTGACCTTCAAATTTGACTATTCTCTGTAAGAGATCTTTTCATTTATTAAACATTATCCAGATAAATGGACTTAAACAACCAGGTAACACGTAGCCTGCCCACCTGTCAAAACTGATTGAGACACTGTAGTTCCTGGAGGGTTCGGAGAAGATGGGATTCGCTGGCTCGGACACCGTTCCACTTAAATGGAAACCTGAAGTGAAAAAAGAAATAAAAACTGCATTAAAGAAAGATTAATTGGACATAAATATGCATGTTTTTATGTTATGTCAACAAATTACAGAAAATGAATGTGACTTGGTGTGATGGGAATTCTATTCAGTTTTTCCTTTAACTATAGAATTACTCTGTACTCAAATCAAGGCCTTACTGAATGACCAGAAAGATTTATTTCTAAACTAACAAAAAGCTATGCAACATTATGGAAATCAATCTGACAATAGCCCAGTCATTATCTCCAATGTTAAAAGAGGATTTGCATGTATCCGATCATTTTACCACAGGGAGAAAGCTGTCTGTCTTGTTAATAATTTGTAAAGAGTTTGGTATAAAATGGCAATCTAATCCAGGCTTTTACAGATCTCTGCAATGACGGGATTATTTTCTGAGGAACAAAATAGCTGTGCTTTCCCTCCAGCTAATACACTGTGATAAATGACTTTTCAAGCCATGAATCCCTGCATTCATATGCCATAGAAAATACCTATTCATTTTGATATGCAATAGTTTCTACTGAGATGCCAACTGGCCCATTACTTTGATATATTAGATGAGTTAGATTTCACTTGCTTTATCATTCATTGTTCTCACTTTATACATTGAAGAAAAGCTTACTAAGCCTGAAGCATGTCCTCTTTATGGTGACTAGGTGCTCAGTCTTCAAATATGCCAAAGAAATGATTTAAACAGGCTCAACGGGACCCTGACTCAATCCCCCATTTACAATATGGTAAAATGTTCAAACTGGGGGCTTTTTCAAAATCATTTTAAAACTGAACTTGGAGTTAAAACCACTTGGCAGTAGTTTTGTGACTTGTAAACATAAATATGTGAGGTATGGTTATCGTGGGGGGTGGGGGTGGGGGGGGAGTGTAGGGGTAGAGATAGGACAGGGTTGTACTCAAACACGACTTAATGTTCAAACCACAGGAGATAGCAGGGTCAATGTCTGCCCCTGTACTATATGGCACTCATAAAACACTGCACCTTGAAAGCAACATCAACTGCTATTATTAATTGGCACTAATGACATATCTGCACTACTGATAGATGTTGTTTAATAACACTACACCTTTTGATGACTGGATCCTCATTAACTCAACTCCTTAAGTGGAGAGAGAGATAAGGTGAAAATCCTGAGACATCATCCCCATTAGAGGGTGGCATGTGGTGACACGGAGCCGTTTGCTCTGTCATGGTCTCCATTCTATCTATGATAACAAGACCTGATGAGACACACTTCATAACAAAGCCAACACTGCCACCACATTATCTTCAGAAGTTATGATGACAGATAATGCTCTGGTTTGGCTGCTACAACAAAAACCTTGCCATGACTTCCCTCCATAATAAATGAGCCAGGAGCCAGGCAATGGTTATGAAGCGTCTTTATAGTAGATAACACTGGACACACACTGCTCTACTGTCATAAATTTACCTGGAGACCTCAAGCATGCAGGAGTGCTCCTTCAAGATAACTTACCTTATAGATGGCAAATTATGGTGCATGGGGTATTATCTTAAATCTATTTTATTATTGTACCTAAACAAGAATCATACCAGTTTAATTGGCAGCAGAAAAACTACTCAACAAAAAACAGGAAATAGTGCTTTATTTTACAAACAATATCCAACCTATCCAACCTCCAGAAATACAACACTGCTTTAAATTTGTCAAACAAGCATCACAGAGCAGAGAAAACCAACTGGAATTGTTTGCTTCTGCATACAATAAAGCAGAACATTTCTTACATTTTTTCAGCTGCGAGGCCGTAACCATGTCTGAAAGCAAACATCTAGCCAACCAGATGTAATTTCAGCAAAGGTCTGGCCAGGCCATATTGCCACAAGTGAGCAGTACAAAGCAGCTAGAATATAGCAAATCTTTACTTTACTCCTTTCACCCGGACAGCCATCAATAGACCTCTATGTACATATGCATGCCTGCCTTGGCAGGGCCAGCCCTGGCCTATAGATCAGTTCTCACTCAGGTTCAAAGACTCTTCAGCCTCAGCTAAAATCACAACAAATAAAGGGACAATATTTACCTGCTTTATTAGCGAAATCCAATGGCTTCACGAACTATACATCACTTTGTTTGAAAAATACACCTCTTTTGGAGATTTGTTATTGGTTCATTTGGTTCAATAAACGAACCCAACAAAAATATGTCAACAAAGAAATGAAAGAAGTTACCGCCACAGGTGCCACTTAGTATATATATATACTGTGGGAGAGAGCTGAATACAGCACTGGGCAGAGAATCAATATCTTCCTTCTTATCAAAATTGTTCTGTTGAATATATTTTAACAAATTAAAATGAGGCACATATTTGGTTTCAAAATCATTTATATCGTTTCAATCTTGACGTACACGTATTTAGTTACACATTGGATTTGCATCTACTTGGATGGCTTTTAACAATCATAATGGAAATAGTCCTTTGTCTAAGGATCAACATGAAATCTAAAGATGACAGTACGTCAATGTAACACACACACAGTTTGGGCTCTCCTATACATCCAACTTCTCCCATTTACCTAGTCAATCAATGTACAAGCTGGTATATCAACCTCACAGCCTCCTAGATGTGTTCACACAATACTACACACACAGCCTTCTGTCTGTTGAAATGGCTAAAACAGGGTGAGAGTGGAAACCTGTCCCAAAGATGAGGATCGAGTATAAAGAATACGGTTCTCTCGGCTTAACATCTAAAGACACTTTTATGTCAACCCCCCTTATTTACTCAGGGGTGACAGACACAAGTTCTAAATCAATTAACACTTGGAAGTTTTTTCCTCCAGACAGATGCCTTGTTTGAAGTGCACTGTAAAAGCTGGAAGTCTCTTTTCTACGCCCTCATGTAAATATATACATTTGGAGTCACTAATTTATGTGAAACTGTCTGCATTATTTAGGGGGAGCTCTTGAAAGCTTGTATTATCTTCTGCTTCAATACTTGTCTTCTATTGACTGTATACTATTGAGATAATATCAGATGGAGACAGAAACAAGTCTCTTGTATTTCACTTAAGTTTGACAGAATTATGCATTGCCTTGCAGTACATTGATTACAATTAGTCTTCAGTCATCATAAATTTGCATGTGATTGGTATTTTATAGGAAAAGAGAAGGATTTTAGCCCAGCATCAAGTATGCACACATGCATGATAAGTACCAACATCATGTATAATTAAGAGAAACTGAAAGAGTTAAATCTATATGGCTTACAATGACCACACCAGCTGCTGCCATGGCAACCTGTGTTAGTCGTGACCTCAATTCACCACCATTACCAGATTCCTGCTGTGGTCAAGTATTTGTGGTCATCCATGAATACTTCAGAATATTGAGGACTACAGCTGAGCCTTGCATCTTCACCATTTCATAAGTATGCACATGTACTGTATATATGCAGTATTTTCTACAGCGCACAGCCTGAGGGTTTCTACTGCCCATTCTCTTCCCATTCTCAACCATCAGTCCCAATGCCAGTATTACATCTACTGTATGTATGCAGGGTTTTCTACAGGGCACAGCCTGTGGGCTTCTACTGCCCATTCTCTTCCCAGGAAACCACCAGTCCCAATGCCAGCATTACAAGCAACAAAGATTTCCCCAGAGAGCTGTCCAGCCATAAATTCAAGGGCTATTGGCTTCAAAAGACAGCCCATATTTCCAAAGACCATATATTACAGATTCACATTTTGGACTCCATATACCCGTAGTAATCCTAGGGAAACCCCTAATAAGCAATAATGGTTTATTTTACCTCAGTTCTGACACATGTACTCAGATGCTTCATACACATTCTAACCATATGTGTGTGTGTATGTGTGTGTGTGTGTGTGTGTGTGTGTGTGTGTGTGTGTGTGTGTGTAACCATGCAGACTATGTATTCTCTAGAGTCCCCTAAAACTAGTCTTTCTAGCTCAAAGTCAACCTTACAACACCAAGCATTTTACTTATTCTGTTGGTTTGCAATATCATAAGTCTCCACTATTCCCAATGCAGCACTTCATTTACATTTCCCCAAAAATAATACACTTAATGTCATATCTATCAAACATAACTTGGTCCTTTATCAAACAAAATTTCATTAAGAAAATGCAAGCCCCGAGAGACAGATTCATTTACCTTGATTTCAGGTAGTACTTGACAGTGACATTCAGATCATTACCACGGGGACCTGCACTGTGCAGGCAGTGGAGATTAAGTGCACAGGTTCTTGTTGTGGTTGAAGAAAATGGTGAAAGGTTAGTGTTAGGGTTCATCTTTTTTTCTTTTTTTGTCATTTATAGAGAGGAGAAGACCCCTGGCACAGGAAGTACTTCCCACAATGCACGCTGGAGACCGTCAGTGCACCAGGACACAACTCTATAGACAGGTCAATGTCATGTATCTTACAAGTGTTTTTACCTTTTTCTGTGTGGAATATACAACTATATTGTTGATATGCAGATATAAAATTAAGAACTATTCACATAAAGTGAAAAGGAGCGTTTTCCTCATGCAGTTCATATAACTGGAGAAAATGTTTCTATTTCCATGACAACTAATCACAACATGTCATTGTTTATTTCCCAGAAATCTACTCAACAATATTTCAAATTAAATAATGACTCATATTACACATATTAGGTGTAAATTTAAATGAAATTCACTGCACAGAAGCTTAAAATTTCCTATGAGCACTGGTCATAATAAATTGGCAATTACTACATGGGTATAACTTTACATTTATTATTTTCGAGATACTGATGATGGAATCTCAATCTATTGAGATCTACCTTAACCGGAACAGGTCTGAGAAAGATAATAAACAAATCGCCTTGTAACAGTGTAGTTGTATTTAAAATTTTGTGACCCACAAAACAAATTGCAACTTATAAAACCATGCCTCTAATAGAAGAGCACATTTTCAGATCCCATGTCTATAGAAGAGCACAGTTTATAGAACCCATGCTAATAGAAGAACACAGTTTATAGAACCCATGCCAATAGAATAGCAGTTTATAGAACCCATGTCTACAGAAGAGCATAGTTTATAGAACCCATGCCAATAGAAGAGCAGTTTATAGGTCCTTTGTCTATAGAAGAGCACATTTTATAGAACCCATGTCTATAGAAGAACACAGTTTATAGAAGAACACAATTTCTAGAATCCATGCCTACAAAAGAGCACACATCCCTCTTTCAACCAGGAACAGGAAGCACCAAACATCTCAGCAGACACAGTTATGTTCTGTTACCAAACGGCTGACCTCATAGAGGTCACTGCTAGTACACTGTGGAGCAGGGCACCTCTTGCCTCTGAGGGAGAATNAACACAGTTTATAGAAGAACACAATTTCTAGAATCCATGCCTACAAAAGAGCACACATCCCTCTTTCAACCAGGAACAGGAAGCACCAAACATCTCAGCAGACACAGTTATGTTCTGTTACCAAACGGCTGACCTCATAGAGGTCACTGCTAGTACACTGTGGAGCAGGGCACCTCTTGCATCTGAGGGAGAATAAATTTGGACAGCTGGGCCAGAACATTTGGCAGTATTATCTAGCTCCTGTGGGCCACCAACTGTCAAAGCATTCTGGCCAGCAAATCTATACTGTTTTCTCCCTGCAGCCATACACAGAGAGAGGGCTTGCATTCTGATAACACATGTTGTGGATTTGTGGAGTACTCCCCATTCTAATCCTGACCAGACACTGACATGCAGTAACACAGCTTCCACCTGTCAATCAACCTGGGATTTCTGATGAGAGAAACTGAGCTTCAGGTGTCCAGGGCTGTCCATCACTGCCTAGCAGGGGATCTTCTGAACCAAATTACACTGTGGTTTATATAGGGAGGAAGACCAATTAAGTACCTACAGGGCATTTCAAAATATTACACCATGGTTTACCATAGAGAAAAAAGATCCAGCACCTACTAGGAATTTCAGAAACAAAACAACATCATTTACCATATCCTACGCACATCTAGGAATAGCAGTTCTTGGAAGAAGTGGGAAACATTGAGATTTTTGAGATTGTCTGCAAATACTAAGGGGAGGGAGTACATAGCTCATGTAGTGCGCTTCTATGAAATTCTTGGTCATTTTAATTGCTAGACAAAACTCAAAAGAAAATCTTCTTTGGCAGCTAAATATACATGGTCACTGCCTTTATTAAAGCACAAGTAATAAGACAGATCACCACCCTGACCCTGCCAGATCAGGTGGGTGTTATAACCCTTGAGTTTACACATCTCTTGTGAACACAATACAATTTCTATGAAATGTGTTGATTGGGTTCTAGAGCTAGTGAGAATCCTGATCTCATGTTGACAGGAGAAGTTCATCATAAGGTGAGAGCACCTGTTACATGAACTTGTGTAACAGGAACCATGCTGAAGTCATCATGCTGTGTACAGGAAACCTGAGCCAGAGAAATATCTCGATTACATCCCCACTTTGTTGATGCCAGGCCATAATTAATCTATTTCCCAGTAATGATCAATGAAAATGGTGCTTTAATCAACCTTTGATCAATCCAGTTCCCATGACCCTATTTTAACATCTCCACTTATCTGATAAATTCTAGCCAAAAATAACTTCCCCTTTTTTGTCATGCTCTGACTTCTGCCTTTTGTCTAATCAAAGATAACTTCCAATTAGCAATTTATATACATTTCCCAGAAAGGTTCCAACTAAGAACAACAGGTGTATGATTATATGACTGTATACAGCAGGTAGAAATCATTACATACAAAATGCATGGACATGGTCACATGGTAAATTACACTGAAAAAAGGAAGAAAAATACAGACACAATCATCATCCAACCATCCATCAGTTTGACTGTGAAAGATATCGTCAAATGCACCTCACAGACATCTTGTTCTGAACTCCATTCTTGCCTAAATTGTGTGGTCTTCCCACTCTCTAATACCCCCTTTACACTGGACGGTGTCCTTTCTGCGACCATGAAATTTGGCATCGCAGTGGTCTTAATAAGGAGGCATGAGCATTAATTTTGTATCAGAATGAATGCTCAATGATCGACCAGTTGTCGGGACGTAAAGCATTATAATTTTTTAACTCTCAAATGGGGCCGTACTGCTGGACGCACAAAGGACACCGTCCAGTGTAAAGGGGGCTTAGGCAAATAACTGCAGTAGGATGAAAACTGCAATCACAAAGTCAAGGAAAGGACAGCTTATTGAAGGAATGCCACAACTGAGATGATCAAATCCAATCAAATTATGTTATTCTTTCAAATACAATCAGCTGTCGCCACAAACCCTGAATATCCCTCCAATCCTCATCCTGGGTACTTAGCTTTCTACAAAGCAGGTAACCACCTGGATGCTTCCATCTTGAGGCAAATGAAGATTTCTTTGTATTTTCCCTCCTTTGATCTTATCAGTGTACTGTTGCTATTACAATAGCTATCAGCCCTATGCTATCAGTATTGTCAGGTCCTGAAGGGACAATACCTCACAGGCTTCACACTAGCAAACCTCACACAAGTCACATGAAATTACAAGGCATTAAATCATGGTTAAATTTCAATAGCTGTGGCTTGATTTCTTTCATCATGTCAGCTATCAGTATTATCAGTATCTGGAGTGATTCTGGCTCTCATTGGACTCTAACACAGCACTAGTAGACAGCACACACAATGAGGCCACATTTTCTTCAGACAAAGTTATCAGATGAAATATCTGAACCTTCTGCATTTTATTACCATAAATGAAATAATGCATAACACTGACCATAAAAATATATCTCCAACCACATCGAGAGTCGTACCAGGTTGTTACATGTTGGTTTCTCACAGATCTCTTATGTCTAGACATTCCCACTCAATTTCTGGACAGAACTGTGGCCTTTTGTTACTAATATTATGATGATGAATTCAAACCATGTTATAAAACCCTACAATTGCCAGTGTTTCCATGGCAAACCACTGCATTTGGGATGTGTGGGGCTCATTTTGTTCATGATTCTTTAAAATTGAAACCCACCCTAATCACATCGGAAAGTGGGGGGCCTTTTTTTGTAAATTAAGTCATTAACCTTTAAGTTACACATACAGAAACTGAAAATTATATCAACAAGGCTATCTTACAACGGCACAGTGAACATCACTACTCCTTGTTAATAGTAATTACCCCTATGTTTTTATTTTCAGGAATAAATTCAGCCCACAGTGAACAACAGACAAACTATTGTTAGCTTTCATCTTCAAGCTGGATAACCAGAGTTCATCCTTTAATAATAAACTGACAGAACTATCCATCAGTGACTGGCACATAGTATAGATGAAACTCCACCAGCTTATTATGCTGCCCATGGGAAATAGAGTATCCCAATATACAGGGTTTCTACTTATCTCTAACCAAACACCAAAATAACTGAACAAGTCAAAGTTCATCACACACTACATACAGAGTAATACAAAAACACCCCCTTTATATGTCTTTTTCATGTTAATTGGTTCTAGTGCATTTTTACAAAGAATATTACCTAAAAATTATATATAAATTTATAAAACAGTGTTATGCTAATACTAGTAAACATATTCATATTTTTTGATAAAGAAAAGAAACTTTTATCTTTTATCTTCTTTTATAAACTCCCTAATCTTTCTGCAACTATTACACAACTCTATCCTATAATTTCTCCCCAATGGGAGTTTCCTCTCCAGATTCTAATGCAACACCTTTCTTTACATATCAGTCAAAAGTCCCCTTCAACCAAGCAAGCATTGAAATTCCAAAAAGGTACACAAAGGGTAGATATAAAAGATCCCATAAATACATTTATCTTGGCTCTAAACACAGAGTACTGCACTATCTAGACCAATCTACCATTTATCACGGCACTATTGTATATAATCACTTCACAGAATAACACTGATTTTACCACTCTGCATTAGAATACTGTAATGATGATAAACTGACACCTACAAATGACCTAAAATTTTGGTAATGTCTTTCAAAATGCATGACTGCCTAATTCATTATTCAAGTCCCTCCTAAATATGTAGCCTGTCTAGCCAGTTTGTTGATTATCTTTAATCTTTTCTTATGAGTATTTATTGCAAATTGCTGCCCCCATGGTGACTTTGTCTCATATGCTCAATAGCCAGCTATTCACAACCACCTCCACATATCTTGATGTCTCCACAGCACAGAGCTAAAAACTAGTGTCCCTACCAGAACAACAGACAGTGAGCCTAGACAGAACCCCCCCCCCCCACCAACCCATCCCCCCAACCCCACACAAACACAGCTGAGAGTTATAAACAAGGAGTTCCCACCATGAGGCTAGCCAGATTCCCCTCCGTCTCCAATCAGAGCCTCCTCCAAGCCAAGAGACCAGCAGACAGTAGGGCTAGGCAGAGAGCAGCTCACAGAATTAGAATACATAATCCAGCTGATCAATACCAGAAGATGGTCAGCTAAATCTCTCACTTCCTCCCACTGAGCCCCTCCCCCTGGTTTCTGTTCATAAGTACTATATACAGGCACCAGCTGATACAAGGGACCCACCCTGCTCCCTGACTGTGGCTAAAGAAATGATTGGCTTTAATCCCTATCCATACACAACTTAATTGTATTGTGTGCTCTGATAACCTCCTTCACTATGACTGCAGGAAGCCGGGACCCATTTAAGCTGGCATCTGAATTCAGCGGCAGTTTATTATTTCCGCCATGCTCCAGTGTATCCCCCTGGCTGCCCCGTAATCGCCCTGCCATAGAAACTTGCACAATACCTGGAGCTGCTGATTCAACACTTCACCGCAGAGGGAATACCTTGGCCCTGTGTATTGCCACAGGGGAGATAGAGTTTTCTTTCTTTCACTTGTTCTCTGCCGCCCATGCTACAGCAGTTATCAATTGGGAATAAACAGTGTTTTACTTGGGGGAGAAATCTCATCCTGCAACAAAATACTATAAACACTCTGGCCTGTTGTATAGAAAATGATAGGCTGAATAGACTGATGTGAAGAGTCAATGGGATGGTACAGTTTTGGGTACAGAGCTCCTTTCAACCAAGAAACAATATGAAAGGTGACAAAGCTGACACAATACAAATCCACCTTTTCCCAAGTTATTATTGCTACCAAACCCCTCCGGTTATTGAGTGTGAGACTGGAGAAGTGAGAAAAGCTTTGATTGCTACCTTCTAGCTAGGAATCACAGTCCTGTTCCATCACTAGGTTATGTATGGCCTAGCTCACAGCCACTCATTCAACTTCTATTACTCCAGCCACACAGGGAAGGTTCAATGATAAAACTACCTCCCTGACATCACAATAGATATGGCTGCATTAAAATACATTATCTGGAGGCCAATGGCCAAAGGTGTGTTAGATTAGCAAGTGAATGGGGGTAAAATTATAGGTCTTATTGTGATCTAAGGCCTCCATCTGTGTTCATTCACCCACCTTCCAATAAATTACCCAGCCGTGATTAGCATCACTTATTTTAATGAAGCCAGTCGGCAGTCTGTGTATTTAACATTCAAGTTTATTGAAGCAAAGATCCCAAAGACACACAAACCCTTTTTATCTGATGATGTCAGGCTGGCTGTGAATCCATCACTAATTGTCAGGACAAGTAGTTTAGACTTGTCTCTAATATTGAACTATAGCTCAGTCCTCAAGCAATAATGGTGAATAGAGAACTTGAGCCTAGAGATGAATTCACATAACCACAGAAAGCTTATATGCTAAATTCCTTGGTCAAATAGCCCTGATAAGGAAGACTATTCACAGTCTTGGCAAACAGATCCTCAAGAGTTCAGTCAATCTTCAAACACACCCCCTTTATGTTCGTGCACAACTGCTTGAACAATAACATGTGGCAGTGAGATCAATATGCAATTGCTGCAATCCTCAATTTTAGGCTTGACACAGTCATTCATAATGCAAACAGCCACTATGCAAAATATATACCGACAGCAGCTACTAAATAACTGCTATTAGCTTAGGCGATTTAAACCCAGCCTTGTTTAAAGGGCCTTGGCACGGAGCGCTCAGCTGATGTGTACAGCGACGGTAGGCTGAATATAAACAAACGCGCCTTTTATCGCAAACTTACTCATTATGATAACAATTCAAGTCCCTTTGTGTGACCTAAATGCTAAGAATGTGGGTGAATTACTTTAATTCCAATTTCAATGTACGGAAATACAACTCAGCTTTCATCAGCGCAACTTGACTCACTTTATCCCAGAGGGTTTTCATTAAATCTTTGAGTGCTCTTTCCTGAATACTAAAAGAACGAAGATCCGTGGGAATTTACTTATCTATAACTTACCTATTTGTAGCACATTCTCTACCGCACCGCTTTCTAATAAGCGTATTCCCTGATAGAACGGTAATTTTTGTTTTTCACCATCCTCCTTTGAGCAGTTCGTAAATGAGGAATACATGCAAATGTCCCTTTCATTTCGTGGGAACGACCAAAATATAATCCGACTCTGCACGGGTTCGGGGATCCGATCGAAACGTTCCTCCACACATTGGAATGGGATGTTTTCGGCCACAATTTTTGCACAGATGTCAAGCAAAGAGTCTGGTTTATGCTTTCCCGTATTTGTAGCACCAATTGAAGTATTTTGACCGGCATTTTTTGGCCCAGAAAGACCCGGCCACGATGAACAGTGTCTCTTCGCAGCCGCCATGGGAAACATCTGATTGGGCGGAAGTTTGTCTGAGCATGCGTATCTTAAATATAAGGCAACACGCCTCCGATCTATAAATAAACTCAAAGAATCCTGATTCAGGGCACCGGGGATTCCCTATTGGGAAATCCCCTTTCATGAATGGTTGAGTCAATAGCGCCCTTCCGATGCATAATTCTCGTGCCCCAGCTGGGAGCGGCATTTACAAAGCATTTGAGCATAATCATTCCGCCTACCAATTGAAAGACAAAATACAAAGGAATGCATCGAAATTGAAAGAATGAGAAAATCTATCGAGATAAAACGTCAATTTGGTTGATATTTGAAACTGGAGCGACATTTAGCTTTTGAATATTAGATCTTTTTTGTGATTTTGAGTCCCATTACCCACGATTGATTTCGCTGACAAATCCCATAATTTATTTTCATGGTCGGCGAAATTTGCATGATTACAAAGGCCGAGCCTACAGTTGTGGTGAAAAAATGGATATATCCGTAGTTCCAGAAATTAAGTATATTTCATTGACACGAAAGGAAATCATTAAGATGATATTACAACAAAATATTACTTTTTGAAAATAAAATGACAAGCCTATTTAACAATAACCAAAATGTTTGTTTGTGAATCTTTGTTTGTTTAAAACACAGAGGCGGAAACATTAACAGTGGGCTGAATGTAAACAGGTGTGAGCTTGTATAAATTCTTGGGTAAAGGACATACCTGTATTAACAGTGTCACTGGTATACTGTTGTCAAATAAATGACCTTATTTTATTTCTTTATGGATATAGCATAGTTGCATGTATTAATATTTATGATTTTTTAAATTCATTTTTTAAAGATGTGTTAAGATTTGATGTGTCCGGTGTTATTTTTGGTACTGGTTTTGATAAACAGTAAATATGTATTTTATTCATTTTTTAGGTAAATAGTCTGTAAATACATTTCAATTAAATTTTAGAGTAAGTATCTGCATCAAGCTTGCCATGTGAAAAAAGGAAATGAGTTTCAAAATGTATTTTAAAGTGCATAATGTGTATGCAAGTCAGTATAATTTAATCCTCATGACACTAAGTGTTTTCTGCCAAGCTGGCTGGTTAACAAAATAATCAAGAGAACAAATAGTTCCTGGATTCAGTATTACTTCACATACGTGACATGCTAAAATAGTGGCACATGATAGGAATGAATCAGCTGTGCTAGAAACGAATCAAATGAAACTTAGGTTCTCCAGTACTGCTCACATTAATGGAGAAAATGGGTTAAGCAGCCCACTCTGTTCCTACAGACACCACAAACCCTGCACTTCATCATCTTATTTGTAAGAACAAGCTCGCATTGAGTAAGAACCAGTATCTAAGCTGGTAGTTTATTAGAACGAAGACAGGAGCATTGCCTTTAGGTGCTTTATAATTAGATCTTTGCTGCTAAACGCTTTAGTTTGCATAAAAATAGACCAATCTCAATTTATAGCAACTCTAACCTTGTTTCAAGCATTGTTAACCCACCAAACTTAATTTCTAACCTACTTGGTTCATGCCTCACTGTGCTGGTATGGATTAGGATAAATTTTGCACAAATGCTTATGTTAAGGGCAAGCGACTGAAGGCGTGTTTCTATTCAGGTTGGGCCAAGCTAACCTTGGTACCATCCATCTTGTGGAGAAATACTCTGCAACTAGGGACATTCTGAAACATATGACATGTGGAATGGTGACCTCAAGGAATATTTCCTATCCTTTTTAAAATAAGGAGAATGTTAAAAGAGTATTTATTTTGAAAAGGGGCACTCAGCTCACCACTTGCCCCCCCCCCACCCCTAATTGTGCCACTGAAGAGTTCTGTATATATTTTTCGATACATAACCTTACCTTAAGTGCTTTATGACTCATGAATAAACATATTGAACAGAAAGTTTGATGTCATTAAATAAACCTTTAACCCATAGCCACAGGCCTAATTTTTGCAGCTCATGGCAGATTTGGGGAATTGGAACATAAAGATTCAAGTAAAAATAATGCATTTTATTGCATACTATAGAAATTGTCATTGAGTTGCACAATGGTGTCTATAAACAGGTAGTTTAACATAATGTGATGTGTCTAAACTAAGTTATAGCAGAATTTCAGAAAAATGTATACACTCATATTCTTTTTTCTAATATTTACAGTATCAATTTGCACTGGAATATTTTCAAAGCACAGCTAGACTGGTCTGCTAGAGATTTCAAAAATACTTAAAAAAATTTATTTTCATAATAATTCATCTCCTTGTAAAATAAATAATGTATTCATGTCCATATATTCCAGTGTTCAAGCACAGTGAAGTCTTCAACTCCTATCCGTGCTCATCTCTGCTTACGCTAATTTTCAAATGGGACAAGACCATGACTTCCTCTCTGAAAAATAAAAAATAAAAATAATTTAACTCACAATAAATAGCAAGGATGTGATTTGCGTGTGTGTGTGTGTGTGTGTGTGTGTGTGTGTGGGGGGGGGGGGGGAATAAACCTGAAAATTGACAATGTTGTGCAATTATCCCAGAAAAGCTAAAAAAAAAAAAAATCCAAAAAGATAAAAAAGGAAAAGTCATATTCCTGATAAAGATAATGAGTAATTTAATTATCTGGCAGGGGGGTACACAGTTTCTGCAAGGTTCACTATGTAATGTGTGATGACAGCTGAAAATGTTTTTGTCTAAAGGATTGTTATATATGGTGATACAACTGCCCAGGAGGGCTTGTTTTGCTTGGTTACAATATACATTATGTATAAATATGGTATAAGTGTTAAGTGGACTTTATCACCATTAAAGTAGCATGCTTTTCTGCAACAGAGCTGTTTCTTCTTCTTCTATGTTTGTTTCAAGGCATATTATTGGGGATGAACCCCCCCACACACAAACACACCTCACAGGTATGATTGTGAATATGCTCAAAGAGGCCATGAAATCATACTATTGTCAACACTAAAATTAAAAAATGACTAAAAAAAGCTTTGCTTTATTTTGTCTAATAGTAAAACTGATTAATTTACTGTAGCATAAATAAGAGTCTTATGAAAGTCTTTATGGTTTAAGTTACCTGTTTTATTTCCCTCAGACCACCAGCCTATAGCTGATGTACCTGCCGGCTGTCTCACTGGGCCGCACAATTTTTACTACCTGTTAATATACATAAGGACATCATATGAAGAAAACATGTTTTAATAAACAATTAGACTGGCTACAATAAGTTACAAATATAATATCAAAATTAGGAATCAGAAACAGTACATAATTGATTAGCAATAAATAACCATAAAACAATATGGTTTTAGAGAAAAACCATGGGTGAAATGTGCATTTAAAAGCCATGAAAACAACATTTTCTAACAAACACCAAAATACAGTGAGAAAGAACCTTATATCTAAGTAAATAAAAATAAAAAACCTTAAACAAAATTTTTGAATTATACACTCATTTCAGTGCATGTTGAAGACTAAAAGGAAAACATTCTGAAGAACATTTAAAACCACTAAAATTCAAGATCACACAGCGGGGGTCATGGCTGCTAGAGACGGAAGAATTTTATTCAGAAATAATTTGAAGAATGAATCTTTAAATGTTGATATTTGTTTGAAAGACAAACAAAGGTGAAGGTCATATTTGGCATAAAGGGACAAGTTTCAAAAATGAGTACTTCTAATTTATTAAACCACTGAATGCTCTTAAGTTATTTTTCCAAATTTGCTAAAACAATAGCAAAACTAACATGACATGGTCAATGTTTATAAAATCTCTTTAGAACTGACTGAAAATAAGAGATGGCCTGATAAGAATTTGTCCACATGTGCAAAGACAAACAGACAGACAGGCAGACGGAGAGATGGATGGACGGACAGACAATGTGATTCCAGCATAATGCTAGAGGTGTAGAGGGGTTGGGGGTGGGGGATGGGGGGTAGGAGAGCTATAATAAACCAGGTTCTTAAATTATTTCACATGGCTGGTACTCAGGGTTGATGCTGCCAAACAAGAGTTGAATTTGTGCCATAGTTTTGCAATGAATTTTATAACAATATACTGGAATTACGAAAGGTGAATATTGAATGATAATTTGTCTTAACTGCTGTATTACTGAACGTGTGCCAAATGAGTGCTGATGAGGACCTGTTATTTTCAAAATATTACTGGATTCATGGTAACCAATTGGATGCAGTTATGCAAACAAATCCCAATCCTTTTTTGCCCAAAGTGTGATTTATGTATCCAACCTAAGACTACATCTGGGCTTTAACATAATAACAACCAAATAGCTAGACAAATTTATGCAAATATATATATATCTAAAATTATGATAAAACTGGTGAAAATTAGGCAAATGTTTGACTTTTCTCTTACCTAGATTAGAGTGAGATTAGTATTTGGTTAGCACATATTATGCTGATATGAGCTAGAATACATATGGTCTTAAATTGCATGTTTATCAATTTTGCAATCACATTTAAACCAAAATCTTCCACAATTTTTGCTCTTGGCTTGGAGAGCACCAATTCAATTATGTTTCACATATGACTGAAATGCTGTATGGTCACTTTATATGAAATGCCCCTGCATGAGGCAATGCAGTCAAATTTCACTCTACCTGTCTGATCACAAAAGTCATTATCATTTGTGGACATAAACACAGCCTTCACAAACAGAGTATTACAACATGCTTACAATTAGAACCATTACTTACTCCGTCAAGATCTAATCCATACAGACTATGTAAATGCTAATTTTACATATTTTTTCTGGAAAAAATGCAAACAAGCCAAGTGCCAAGGTCCACTTGACATGAATAATGTATATGAGGCAAGTACACAGTGACCGTAATTGTCTTTGTGTGCCGTGTGATCAATACTGATTATCACTGATCAAATTCACAAAGCCTATTGAATTCTTTATCATGCTTGCTTTAGCATTGTTATTATAATAATTAGTGCTGGGTTGGGCTCAGTACAGGCATTGTGCACAGGAATACATAATCACTTGGAGGAGACTTTTGTCCTATCAGATCAGATTGAGTTCTTTCTGCATAAAAGGGCATCTCTCTCTCTCTCTCTCTCTCTCTTTCTCTCTCTCTCTGGGCATGAGACAAACATGCTAAATGGATGCTTTTACCATCAAATTAAACAAAATGTTTGAATTCCATGCCTCACAAAGACTTGCTGCTCTCTTTGTGAAATAATTTGTTCTATTTTCTAAGTATCTTACACCATAGTTTTTGATTTAAAACTCATGAATAATTGTCAGACCAGCGGTAAGAAGTGTGTGTGTGTGTGTGTGTGTGTGTGTGTACGCGCGCACGCACGCACACGTGTGTGTATGTCTGTCTGTCTGTATGTTGGAGGGACGGGCCCAAAAATCCACTTTGTTAAATAAGTTTATTTGATGATTACAGCATCAACTTCATACTGCATTGTAGGTAAGGCCTGTGTTGGTCACTTTGCCAGTGCAACCTTTGTTTTCAGGAATAACACAGTTTATTAAGTAACTTCCTTTTCATCTTCATATATTACCTATTTCAAAAAGCACACAAATAGCCAGCCATGGCAAGCACTCTCAACAACAGATAACTATTGTTTATTGTAACAAATCTTCATCAAGTGTGAATAACACATGAACTAAGAGGCAGCTGTTGCCATGACTTTAGCAGCAGTTCCGTGCATGTCAGATCATCTGCTCCTGTGACTTTCTCTCTCCCAGAACAACTTCATATTCCGTGAAAGCCACCTAATATAATCCCCTGGCCAATACAAGGTGTGCTGGTCATCAGGGTCGGGGTAATTACAGAAGAAAAAGGGGGTCAATATGAATATTCTGCCATTTCTTGTGACATGCACAGTTGGAGGATAATGGGCTCACATGAACTGTGGATAATGCATTCAAGAAATTAGCACAAGCTCAGTAGAAAAGAATTGCTCTAATGCCTGGCCTAATGCAGTTCACACAGTACATTATTGGAAATGGATCAATTTACAATGTATCTCTCAGGCTGGGTAATTCCTACTGATGCTCTGTTTTAGCACCAGTCTTTGTTTCAGTCTGGGTAAATTATCATAAAGCAAGTTATTTCCATATTTCAAATGATTTCTGTGATTCAAAGGAAAAGAGAAAAGTGGACAAACTTTTCTTTCGCCAGAGCTCCATCCAACTAAATGATAAAAATCAACTGTGTACCCAATAATGGAAACATGGACCCTGATACTAATGAAATGGACCATCATTATTAAATTTTAAAGTACCATGTTGTTTTTTGACCTGGCAGTCATCACAGTTTATGCAGATTTTATTGAGTTGCTTCACTCAATGAAGATGCTATTAATTATTGATACAATTCCTAACTCTTTCACGCAGGTTTGTAAAAACCTATGAAGGATGTTTTCTTAGTCTTCTGCATATGATGTTTTCACCATATGCAATATGTTTGCAGTTGGTGAGAGTTAATTAGTTTAAAGCAGAATTTATGAACTTGGAAAAAAAGAGACAAAAGGTCAGATAGAGAAGTCAATATGCAGGATGAACAATGCTGATTGTGTTAGATGTGATAACTGACACAATGCACAGCACACCCACAGCAATGCTCAACTTGTGGCTTATAAAGGAATACATTCTTAGGAAGGTCAAGAAACACTGTCTGTTGATGAATATCTAATAATACAGAGGTTGTCAGAGAAGGGTGTCATCTTCTAAATATGTACCACCAGCCTGATTTGTGTTTTAAATTTACAACAAACTTGTTTTCAGTTGCGAACTAAACAGCAGAAAATGATTGTGAAGTATAATAAGGAAAAGAAATGTACACTATCAGTAAAGACTTTCCTTTTGAAGACCTTAGTTTTCCATAAAAAAAAGAAAAAAAAACGTACCTGTCCTCGTTTGAGACCAAAATACCTGGCCACTGGGTCTCCAGCCTGTATTCTAGGAATCTGAGATTCTTTTAATTTACTGAATTCTCATTAAGGAATGTACAGACAAAACTATATCATTGCATGAAATACTGAAGAAGGGATCAAGGATAGCAAAGCTCTGAAGGGGAAGAATTATTTACCCATTTCAGTACAAAGGAAATATTATATCCCTTTCTTCATTTCATAATATATTCAAAAGAATTCTTTCATTAATCATAATTATTTATTTTTATGTTTTCCATCAGTAAACAATCCTGAGCAAGGCACACATCAGAAGGGCAGACGGCTGATTTGAGGCAGTCAAGGATACTATCGATCTAATAATTCTTTCTTTTCATCTGGAGTCATAAGTATATGTTCTGGAACCAGCTAAAAAATAATAAAACCAAATAACATCTCTTTTATTAACCATTTTTTACATAGAAGCAAAATATAATAGGTACATCACCTCAAACAATAACTTTACTAGTTATTAAAACAGCAATATAACCTAGGGATTTTATTTCATTAAGTCAATAAAATAACTGTTAACAATTTAAAGACTGTTAAACATAGACCTCAGTCCTGGTTGTATACTCTCCAAACCAGACCTAGTTATTATCATCAAACAAAACCGTCAGTTCCTCTCTCCAACTCTGCTTACACTNAAGTGTGCTACTCACCATGTGTTCTGTAATGTTGACTAAAAGTTCAGCTTCTAAAAACTGTTCCAATATATACTTTGGTGCCATATCCACAAGAGACTGGAATAAAAACACAACCCACCATTTGTTTACTATTAACCAAGTTATGACAGTTTATCATTCCATCAGACACAATCTTCATTCCCTGTTTGCCTTATATTAATATATATGCTTGCTTCTCCAAGTTACAACACAGCAAACTGCCACCTTGAAATGACACATACTAGTAAGTAACAATGATAGCCATAATCAGTGGGGGACATGATACATGTAGCGAATTTATTCATCTCTCCACAGGTAACCCGTTTCCACTGGTTGTGTGTGCATGTTAATTTCAGTGATGCATGGGTGACCACACAAGACCAGTGGAACTCCGTTAACTGTGCACGGGCGTCAGAATCTGTAGAACCGTGATGTTGCATTTTTTTACCTGTTTTGCAGATGGGGTCATTCCTTGCTGTACAACAATACAAGCTCTGGTAATGTTCTCTTCCTGCATTCTCTGACAGTACGTTTTGATGGTCTTGATTCCAACTTTTGGCTCCTCAGGAAAGAACACAAACATCTGGTCTAAAACAAACAGATGCAGTCTCATTAATGACTCAGTTGAAAGAGTCATATGTCCTACTTATGAAATACCTACCTTTCTGTAAAATGCCTTAAAACAACTACTAATCTTAAGCCGTGTAATAAGCTCTCAGGTCTCACAATCATTTGGTGTTTTTAAGACATATGAATAAAATGTTCACAAAATAATTTATAAACATTTACTTTGGCATTGTCATGGAGTCAGATACTGCTGAATTTCATTTATGACAGTAAATATGTCTACCAGTACCTGTTGGGTCATCATTGTGAGCTACTAGTACAATCAAGTCACTTCTGGCTGGTCGCCTCTCACTGCAACAAATAAACAGGCTTAAGTAAAATGCAGGGGCGGATGGAGGCCGTCTGCTGGGTCTTCCGGAAGACAGTCAGAATTTTAAAAGTTTACATTGAACGTCATCTAATTTTTCTGTCGGAAGACGGTCAAAAATGGAGGATGGATCAACAAAGATAGTTTGGGAAGATTGTCAGAAAATATTTCTGAATCTGCCCCTGAAATGTCTATGTGTTCATGTGTGTGTGTGTGAGTGTGTGTGTGTGAGTGTGTGAGTGTGTAAGTAAGAGAGAGAGAGAGAGAGAGAGAGATGCCCTTTTATGCAGAAAGAACTCAATCTGATCTGATAGGACAAAAGTCTCCTCCAAGTGATTATGTGTTCCTGTGCACAATGTCTGTTCTGATCCCAGCCTCTGTGTGTGTGTGTGTGTGCGTGTGTGTGTGTGTATGTATGTGTGTGTGTGTGTGTGCGTGTGTGAGAGAGAGAGAGAGAAAAGAAGGGAGAAAGAGCTCACCTAGGTTTATCTCCAAACTGCACTTTAAACTGGTCAAGAGTTTGGTCCAATTCATCCTGAGTCACCAAATAGCCACGGTCATGACAAAGCTACAATAAGAACATTTTAAGATTGCACATAAATTGCTATGTCAGCACTAGTAGGTGTCACAAGAGGACAGTATTCAGTGGCTTGACCCTCTGAAATCTTGTGTAGCACGAAAGGTGCCTACGGATTCACTTGAATTTAAAACAAAGCTATGATTCTACCAAAATATCAAAGCTGCCGGTACGGCGGTAGTGAAACCGCAGAAACTTTACAACTTACAGCCATCTCGTTGTGACTAGTCTCAATGCAAACTTCAGTTTACTGTTTCATTGGTATTTTCAAAATAAAACAGCAGTTTACCTGCATAACAGTTTTTCTTATTCTCCACAATTTATAGGTTTCCTGCTCATCATCCATTTCTTTGATGAAAGAATTGTAAATGAATTGATGTTGATTGAATTTTCCCTCGTGAGTGCATGCGATGATAACCGGAAGTGCGATATGCGCAAGTTTAACCGGAAGTTGTCCATATTGGTCAACCTGACGTTCAAAATAATAATTATCTTTCAGTATAACTCAGTTTGGGTAGTAACCAGAACAACTATACTGATCACTGACAATTCATTAGTTCAGACGAACTCATAGACTCACATGTTTTTGGTTTAGTGATAAATAACGTCGATATTGTTGAAGAAATGCTCTTGGTTACCAGGTAAACAGCCACTGTCTTGGGGCTCTCCAGTCTCTGGACTCCAGAAGACGACAAGATTATGGATGATAATATAACTGTTGGGGAAATGTCAGGTTCGTAAAAAGAAGAGAATATTTGATTACCTCATCTGATTTATCTTTTCTTTTTCCCAGTTTGAATCCTTGTCTTTTATTCACACTTAGATAGAACTAAAAGCTTTAAGACCCAGCTTCATATGTGATAAACGAGTTTCTAAAGTAATATTTTTCTGGGGTAAAGAGTATTTTTCTCCGACCAGCCAACCGATGATATTCCTTTTCTGACAATTACCATAGGTCTGTAGCAGTCTGGAAAAATTAAAAATGTTAGCTCAAAATTGAGAACTGACATATGCTTGGAGAACATTTGTACTGGTAGATCACCTAAATGTAAATGTCCAGTTTCAGTAAACAATCAGTTTTTTATCTCTTTAAACAGTTAACCATGAGACAGACAGAGCTTTTAGCTTTGCGGCTGCACCAAAGTCACTACGACAGGTAAGATGCTGTTTTTATAAACCACTGTCGACATAGACATATCAGTACATAGACATGTAATCCGGTGAGATTGCACGCTGTCATCTTGCAGGAGGTGTGTTATGTTGTTAATCTGATTGCATTCAGCAAGAGTCCCCATATAGTTGGATCAATCTATAGAATGTTACTTTTATTGGGAATGGGTCCTAATATTTCTATTTTCTTCTTTCATATATAAGTTAAATGTTTTATAGCACTATGCTCAATGTAACTGAAGATAAACTGATGTTAGACCATTACAATCCATTCCAGAATTTGATCAGGCAGGGGAAGGGCAGTGAGGAAGCAGTCAGTTGTGCTGCCATAGAAATACAGAGGGTCTGGAGAGGATATAGAACAAGGTACTGTGAGCATATTGTAGTGCTATAGCATTAAGTTAAACAAGATATACTGCACTGCTTTATGTGGCAGGGATTTTGTATAAAACACTCCCACATTTGACTTTAGGTGAAGGTAATTGAAATTGTGTAATGTTTGTTATATTATTTTTTGTATGANTTGTTGAAAATATAGCTTCTTATAACAGTCCCTGGATATACTGAGGTAGGTAGAGATGAAGACTGGGCATTGATTGTTGAAAATATAGCTTCTTATAACAGTCCCTGGATATACTGAGGTAGGTAGAGATGAAGACTGGGCATTGATTGTTGAAAATATAGCTTCTTATAACAGTCCCTGGATATACTGAGGTAGGTAGAGATGAAGACTGGGCATTGATTGTTGAAAATATAGCTTCTTATAACAGTCCCTGGATATACTGAGGTAGGTAGAGATGAAGACTGGGCATTGATTGTTGAAAATATAGCTTCTTATAACAGTCCCTGGATATACTGAGGTAGGTAGAGATGAAGACTGGGCATTGATTGTTGAAAATATAGCTTCTTATAACAGTCCCTGGATATACTGAGGTAGGTAGAGATGAAGACTGGGCATTGATTGTTGAAAATATAGCTTCTTATAACAGTCCCTGGATATACTGAGGTAGGTAGAGATGAAGACTGGGCATTGATTGTTGAAAATATAGCTTCTTATAACAGTCCCTGGATATACTGAGGTAGGTAGAGATGAAGACTGGGCATTGATTGTTGAAAATATAGCTTCTTATAACAGTCCCTGGATATACTGAGGTAGGTAGAGATGAAGACTGGGCATTGATTGTTGAAAATATAGCTTCTTATAACAGTCCCTGGATATACTGAGGTAGGTAGAGATGAAGACTGGGCATTGATTGTTGAAAATATAGCTTCTTATAACAGTCCCTGGATATACTGAGGTAGGTAGAGATGAAGACTGGGCATTGATTGTTGAAAATATAGCTTCTTATAACAGTCCCTGGATATACTGAGGTAGGTAGAGATGAAGACTGGGCATTGATTGTTGAAAATATAGCTTCTTATAACAGTCCCTGGATATACTGAGGTAGGTAGAGATGAAGACTGGGCATTGATTGTTGAAAATATAGCTTCTTATAACAGTCCCTGGATATACTGAGGTAGGTAGAGATGAAGACTGGGCATTGATTGTTGAAAATATAGCTTCTTATAACAGTCCCTGGATATACTGAGGTAGGTAGAGATGAAGACTGGGCATTGATTGTTGAAAATATAGCTTCTTATAACAGTCCCTGGATATACTGAGGTAGGTAGAGATGAAGACTGGGCATTGATTGTTGAAAATATAGCTTCTTATAACAGTCCCTGGATATACTGAGGTAGGTAGAGATGAAGACTGGGCATTGATTATTGAAAATATAGCTTCCTATCACTATATTTTAAGTTAACTAAGATATATTTATAGAAAGAAAATAAGATTTAAAATAGGCATTATATATTACCCAAGATAAAACTTTTACTGCCAAGGAATGTGAAGTGTGAATCATAAAGATAGCTGTGGAAATAAATAAAGAAATTATATATTTACCCATTGTTTATCAGATATTGTCTTATATTTTTTAGATTTTATTTAGAATCCTTTTGAGAACTTGTTATTCATTTTGTTGCATATAAGCATTTTGTATATCCGTGAAATGTGCTATGTTTTAGTTTTGAAGATTTCTGTGCAGCATACACTAAAAGTTGGTGGGACAAAAAAGGGGCCACATCACATAAGAGTCCCCCAGCCCCAGCCCCTCATCCTAGCATGACTAGTGTACACATTCCAAATGGCTCAGCCAGTAACAAGCCTGTCCCGCTGGCCCAGGAAGTCAGGAAAAAGAAACGAGAGGGGCCACTAACTGAACATGAGGCTGCGTGCAGTATACAGAAAGCTTGGAGAAGACACATAGTGAGTATTGGGAACTAATACAAAAATTGTGATAAAAGTGATTTTAAAACACTTAAACTGAGGTACATTGCTGTAGATTTGCTTTAATAGCTAAAGGATATCAAATTGGAAAAAAGTTGGAATAATGTTTAAATTAAAAAATGTTTATCTCACACTTGAAAAATATTTTCAATATTCAAAATAAGTGCTTTGCTGAAATAACTGGCATTACCCACAATATTTCTTTGGTTTTTTAAAGACAGTCTGCCCTTACCCTTACCTTTTAAAGAACAATATTTTCCTAATATTTCTTTGGTTTCTTTAGGACATCCAAGTCTATAACTACTACAGGGATCTGATCAACTTCAAGTGTAGAGGAGACCCTTCACTTATGCTGAAATGTATCAACCCCAATGAAGCTAAACTACTGGACCCAGCATCAGGAGTACACATCAAGTTTAGACTAGCTGGGGTGAGTTAGCTGGCTATTGGCCTTGTACTGATAATAAAGTAGTTTGTTTAAGATGATATACAAATATAGAAGTAGTCAGCTAATAGTGAAAAACCCACATGGTTACACTAGCAAGTGAGTGAAAAATGAAGTGGAATTATAAATCTTTAATTTTACAAAATAAAAGAAAATGCTTCAAAATTATTTTATTTATTTAAGGCAAAGAGAGATATATTTTTCCCTACTTAAACTCAAAATAACAGAGAAAGAGTTGGCAAAGGACAAATAATTGTTTTCTATTTCTTGCAACAGTCAACTACTGGTTAATTTAATTTGTCTGCCTTCATTTTTGGAGAAATGCCTGTTATATTTTAATCCTACTTTTTTAGACAATTTTTCATTATTGTCATGGACCTATATCTAGATATACTTCCATGATTATTACCAAGCCTTAAGATCAAGGGCATCATATTAATAATGATAATAATATTAACTTTTCAGGAGAGATTTCCCCCCAATATTTACTATAAAATCTTCACCCATCGCCCAGTGGTGGACCTGTGTGCCTGCAGTCCCAAGGACTACACTAAGGCTGGCGCCAAACAGAAACTGCCCAGAGATTTACATAACAAGGTGGACAGAACAGCACCTGATGATAGATATGGTATGTTTCTCAAACTTTCTCTCTTGTATTTCTTCTTATTATTTATATTTACAGATTTAAAAAATCCTGTTGATTATATACAAATGTATAGATAATTAGCTGTTCTTATTTTGAAATAATCCCATGCATTCAGAGACATGACATTGCTAGAAAGAAGTAAAATGAGAAGATTTACTGTGATTGTTATTATAAACATATTGAGATTTAAGACAGCTGACTTAAAACTGGAAGATTTCACTGTACTCAGTTTTCCTATTTCCCTGGCAGATCAAGATGGCTGGTATCAGAGAATAGAGAACAATGGCTGGCGTCTGGTGTCAGATAGACTCATCACACATGCACTGAATGACCCTGTTACCTGGGCAACCACCAATAAGAAGGTTGAATTCCACCACAATAAGGTAAACCTCCTCTTTGACATAGACATGAATGAAAATGAATTCAAGATAAACAGATTATTGATGATGAATGCTGTATAGTTACATTAAAAACAATGTATAGAGAATGTGTCAATAACAGAACACTTATAGATTATGTTTCATCTCAATGAGTTTAATTTTTTGTTAAAATAGAATAGGCTGAATTTTCACCATGTGTCTGCAAATTTGAAAAAAAAAATGTTTTTACTCTCATTCACGATTGGTTTTAACTGTTATTCGTGATTTTGATATTTATTTAATTGACAGACATATAGAGAGTGACCCATCTTAGGCTGTGTGTGGTATGTCATGATTGCTGTAGCTGTGAACTGTCATCATCTCAACAGTAGCATTGTCTACATATCATGGCCATCATTTGTCTTAGAATTTTGATGGTTTACATTTGTCTGAAACAAACTTGGGCTTAAGCTTTTTATTTTGTTATTGCTGTTTAATTTTTTTAGTCAGTGAATACAATGATGTATCATAACTATGAGGAAATAGATGATTCATTTTATTCAGATAAAATTAAAATCATTAACAGTTTAAAAACTTTTATCTTAGATACAGAATTTTTGCCTTACACCCAATTCAAGACCCTAAAATGTGGTTGAATGGAACATACTTTATTCTGACTCAGTTTTGACAATAGCACTTCCATCTTCATGTAGATTTTCTGGGGATGTTCCAAAGGATTCTAGGTATTTACAGTCACTGTCCCCAGTGTTGCCATTTCCATATGTGAAAGCTGCATTATAATCCACAGGGTGGACTCCTAGACTACTCAGTAACTGCCTGGCTCTGTCCCCCAACTCCTGATAAGGAAACTTCACAAAGAACATGGAGGCACGATTGTGAGATATTGTCCCGTACTCCATTCGACCAAACCCTAGCAGCGCCGTCTTGTGTAGAAATTCCCGCGCGGCTGTCACTGGGTAACGATTCATGGTATTGAGGTGCTGCATTTCTTCTCTAGTTAATGGAGGTATGATGTGGCGCTGGGCGGCCATACTTGGGGAGATCCTGTAATCGAGTTTGAATTCTAAAAATTTCTTGATTTTGTGGCTGTAGTTACTGAGGAAGGTTCTCAGGTCACCTGTTGTGATATTGGACATAGTAATCTGTGGGGACTGCGACTGTAGCTGTTGTTGCTGTATATGGTGGAGAGAGTGGGACCCCATGTTGTCCTGCATTGCTGCAGTCTCTGAAGAGAAAACAGCTCCATTGGTGATAAATGGCCCAATGTTGTTCATGAAAGGGTTTCCTCTCTCTACTGGAGCACCCTCTGGTGGTGAGGAGGGAGATGAAGACTTGGCAGGTGGATTGGGGTGGCCAGGGGTCAGGCTCACTGACCCTGGGGTCTGGTAATACCTGTGTTGTGGAGGAGGAGGGACTGGTCTCTGATCACCCTGGGGTTCACCCTGGGAGACTTGAGGGCCAGGAGTAGGTATGATGAGAGGGGGAGGGGCCAAGGGTGGCTGCTGCTGGTGAGGTTTTAGTGAAGGGTGTGTCCCCTGACTACCTGCTATACTGGTTCCCCTCAGTTGTTTGCTGGGGGGAGGAGCAAACTCTTGTCCTTGCTCTTGATTATGTGATCTCTTTAACATAGCCAGGTTATTGTGGTCTTTTGAAGCACTAGGCAAGTTTAGAGATGTGCCATTCATTTTAGCAGCCTGAGATGCAGTGTTCTCTTGCTGCTCTTTCTGATCAAGTATATTGCACTTCAAGTCAATTACCCATTGTAAAATGGACTGGCTGGACTCCAAGTCTTCCTTGGATATGATGTCACACCAGCTTCCTGTGCGGAGGTCTTCATGATAGACAACATATTTCAGAGCTTGCCGCAAAGATGTGATAGTGGCTGCAAGTCGAGCGAGGAGAGACGGTGCTCTTCTGTACATAGCATATCTGTCGTCATTGTTAGTGTGTTTATCTGAACAATCCTTGAAGTGATCACCCATTGCTGTAAACAAAGCGTGGGCCTCAGGGGATAGGGTATACTGTCTCTTCTCTGTGTGTTTAACACATAGCACCTTGAAAACCTCACTCAGTAGTGGTGTATTAGAAGGCATGGGGACCTTGCACTCACTGGGTTTATAGGTGACATCCCCAGGGAGAGCTATTAAAAACCTGTCTGCAACTTGCAAGGGGTCTTCATAAATAAATTTGGCTACTTTCTCCTTGCTCATAAAACCACCTATGCTGATGCCCTCCCCTGGTTGCCACGTGTTGTCAAAATGTGACTTTAAACTGCCCCCTTTGCTGGTATAGTCTGACTCTGCTAGCAAACTGAGGTCTTCCTCTAGAAGTATATTGTTTTTGCCCTGGTTGGGGTCACACTGTTCTCTGCAGACTAGATTAGCTATGTGTGTGTATGCCTCAGTTCCTGCCTCATGGAGGGCTTGGAGGAACTGGTTCAGAACTGTTGTCTTTTTACTGCACCTTCTTGCTGCTGTGACACACCACATTGTGCAGGTCTCTTCCCACATGTCACTGAGCTGTACTCTAGACCTTGTCAGCAGTCCTGTAGATATGACAATAATAATATTAATGATGTCTTATACCACATGTCACTGAGCTGTACTCTAGACCTTGTCAGCAGTCCTGTAGATATGACAGTAATAATATTAATGGTGCCTAATATAGTTTAACAAATTTTAACAAATACAACACTACTGTAAACACACCAAACTATGTTTAGCAGATGACACAGATCGTGTCCAGGGGAAATCCCCCATATCCAGGGGCAATCAGGGGTTCAAATGATCCGCCCTTTTTTGGAAGAAATATGTCCACTCAAGGTCAAAATTTGAGCTAAGTACACTATAGTTCACATTTTCAGAAAAAGACCCCCACCCCACCCTCCCTCTGAAAATGTTGGCTGTGGACCTGTGACATGTAACTGATCAGAGATAGGTAAATCACAGTACTCGATACTGAGGCCAGGGAGAGGGAAAAGAACATACTCCCTAGGGGTCCCCAGGGCACTGGCAGAGATAGGTAAATCACAGTACCTGATACTGAGGCCAGGAGAGGGAAGAGAACATACTCCCTATTGGTCCCCAGGGCACTGGCGTATGAGTCAATCATCTTCAGTAGGTTGCCGTCACACACACTGGTGTAATCTAGGCCACTGCTAGAGCTACAGGGACTCCCCTGTGATGGAACGCTCTTCATGGTGGCTGAAAAAATGGAATCTGCATCAGATATACTTGGATAATTAGGTGTAACAAGTTGCTGTTCAGACAGATAGCAAGAGTAGTTTCACTGCCAATTGTGACAATAACTTTTATTTTCATTTTATGGATGCATACTGAATGCAAGATTCAAATAAGGATACAGGTATAATGCCTGAGGGAATCCATGGAGTTATTTGGCCTTTCATGATAATAATATTATATCAATGGATCGTATTATTTGCCTTTACTTAATGTATCTCTCTCTCTCTCCCTCTCTCAGATTTATACACCTTCTCTTGTTTCCAGTGTAATCATATAATCACTGGCTTTTCTGTATTCTACTCAATACCAGGAGGAGGTGTGTGAATCTGATCATCTGATTGCATTCAGCAGGCCAGTAGCCAGCAATTTTAGAGGGGTTTCGTTTTCTGAAAAAGTGGACCTTTTACCATAAAATCCTCAAGTACATAGATCAAATTTTACCCAGAGTGGACCTTTTCCCAGCAAAAAGGGTGGTTCTTTTGAACCCCCACCCCCCTGGCTACGGGCCTGTTCAGGGAAAGTCCCTGCAGAGTTGGACTGTTCCAGGTGGAACAATAGTTTCATTGGGGAATGAACCCTTCATCAGAATTCATAGATATTATATTTGTTCTCCACATAGATTCTCTCTGCCCTGAAGTTAATATTTGTTTTATGTCAGCCTGTTGCTATTTATAATGATGGTTTAGATTCTTGATTATAGTCAAAGCACCACTGCCTTGGTGATGAAGTTCAAAACACCTGGCTTGATGGGGATTCGATCCCAGGATTCAAACAATCGATACGTTATGGTGGTGAGTGATTATTTCAGTGAGTGGACAGAGGCATTTGCAATTTTCAACCAGGAATCTGAGACTGTGGCAAGGAAGTTGGTCGAGGAGTTTGTCTATAGATTTGGAGCTCCATGCAAGATCGATACTGAGGGGGGAAGAAATTTTGAATCTTACACCCCATTTCCATAGATTTTTAGATCGATCTATCCCTGTTGGGAGTCTCACTAGATTACTGTCAGCTTGGCCGGCTTAAGCATCTGTCCCACCTACTAAAAGCTATAAGGGGGTAATTAACTATGGTGCCCACTCAGCTGACTGCAATTTAGCGTGAACACCCAGGGAGTTAGGTCCATCTAAAACTTAATCTTTAGATCGATCTAAATCTCTGGGAAAGTACCCTTAGTTAATTGGGGAGATGTGCAGGCTACTGGGTGTGAAGAAAACTTTGGGGGGGGAAGGTTGGTGCCAAGAACGTGGAGAAATCTATTGTAAACCAAACACTGGATATCATTGCCATAAAGGGGAAGAATGTATCCCAGAAAGCTGTTCTCCAGTTGAAGTTCTTTCCCCATGTCCAAGGAGACCTCGATGTGACAGACAGTCTCTCCAGAAACTTAATGACTATTTTTGTTTTAACTTTGTACATTTTGTAAAATCTTTGTGTCCATGTAGATAAAACTTAGAAATGTGTCCATTGTATTGATGAACAGTAGTAATACAGACAGTGATACATTGAAAGCGGGAAAAAAAAAAAAAACGGAAAGACTTTCTTATTAAATAGTTTCATAGTTTATTCATTATAATGTATGCATCCATCTGGGTGGATGAAAATAACAAAACGGGGGAATAATGTAAGAAATTATTAATCGTTATGTATGGTTATGTTACCTGAAGAAAACTGACTAGGTCACGTATTAATATTGTGAATGCATTATTAGAAGGGCATGTGTTACCCATTTATTCAGCTGTACATATGAAGTCTTTACTCTGACATTATATTAAACTCAATGGCTCCCTCTCTCTGTAGCACTGAATAAACCATTTGCACCCTTGGTTGGTTTTGGTTACATGTTAAAATATATTAATAATAGAGAGAAAAAGAAAATAAAATGGGGGATAAGATATGATAATATAATAAATATGATAGCATGTATGTTTTACTTTTTAAACTAATTTAATTTGAACTTTGCAAAAATATCAATTGATTTATATCAAGTCAAGCTTGAAAATTCTTTTCTGAACTCAGATCCTAGTAAATGATATCTCTAAAGTCACAATTCTTGTATTCACATGCCAACAGAGTAATATAATCCATATGATCATGTCCTTTTCAGCTGGGATCTAGTTCTTGTTATGTTTATTCTAAATTTAAAAAAATTAATTTCTTTCATCATACCAACATATTTCACTTTAATGTAGACAGGCCTGTAGCCAGGGAGGGTTCAGGGGGTTCGACAGAACCGCCCCTTTTGCTGGGAAAAGGTCCACTCTGGGTAAAGATCTAGGTACATTTAGTTTTTTTGGGAAAAGTCCACTTTTTCAGAAAAAGAACCCCCCTTTTGAAATTGCTAGCTACGGGCCTGGTAGACAAAAAAAAAAAACTTTTCAGAAGGGGGAAACCAAGTAGAGGTAAAGAGTCTCAAATTTTTTGTAAAATCTGGGCTGTGCATTCAAAGCACACATTTCAGGGAGTTCATTTTAAGCACACTGAAAACACCCTAAAAACAAAGCACTTTTCTGTGCAGCTCTGTCCCCAGTAGAGACTGTTGTTGAAGGAAGGATGTGCACTAGGTAGCCTGTCTGTAAATATACCACATGAAGCACTAAACAGCTCCAACACTTGCAAATCTACCTTTATTGTATGGAGATAGCATGATTATAGATTGAGAAAATGTTCAGATACTTCTAGTATTTATTGCACTTAGTAAAGCATTACTTGTATCATCAATTACTGCTATTAACTAGAGAAACAAATCATTTTACGGTGAAGTAAAAAAAAAAAGGTATCCGCATAGGAGTTCTGAAAGCCTGTGAATCATGGTAGTGTTTATGTTGTGAACATTAGATTAAAACCTCAAAAAAGTAAAAGAAAATCCAGACTGTTAGACTATGTGAGTTCACCTCACCTTATTGCCTCAGGCTCTGACTTTCCTCACTTGTTTCAATGGTTAAAATCCCTGGCTAGCTTGTACCAGTAGCCCTGACTTATTCCTCCCTTAGTAGTTGTAATCCTAGGACAGCAGAGTAGTGAACAGCCTCCACTGTGGCCAGCATGCCTAGCTACTGTCTGGGGAGTGTGTGTGTCTCTCTATACATACTGCAGAACTGGGCCACTAGCTGAGCTCTAATCGATGATATCTATTCCACAATCTATCTAGCTCTGCTGCTGACATCACGGTTGCTATGACAGCAGTGCTATTATCAGCATCTCATAGCTGCTGGTGCTGATAAATATATCTCAGGCTATTTTGGATGAACGGTAAACAATGAGGCCTAATGTGAATGCCAGCTCACCATGAGGGGAAGTGGGGGGGGGGGGAGGAGGAGCTGTGATCACAGGAACACATAGGGGGTGGCTGAATCTGCTTTCTTTCACCTCACATTATGCAGTTGTTATGTCATTAACTCCACTATCTCTTTTTGTTATCTTATCACAAATAAAGAGGTTGGAGTTGTATCAAACTGGATATTTTCACGTTTCAACAAGACAGTAAATAAGTGGCTGCAGGGACAAAGTTATATATTATCTCCTGATAATGGCTATGACATAGATATCAGTTGAGAAGGCTATCAGTGTGTTACCTCTGACTATATAGATCTGCTATTAGATAGAGCTCAGTCCCTGCATGGGTGATAATGACAGGTATGCAGGCAGGTGTGATAACAACTGATAGTAGACAGAGGTGAGCAGGGGCGGGGCGGGGGGGGGGGG